GTTGAAACTTTGATTCGACAAGGTTATCAAAATTCAATGTTTGGAATTTGGAAACATTCGAAGTAATGATTATTATAAATTATTACACAACGCTTAAATACAGCCCCGGCATAGCACCTGAAGAGCTCTCCAAATGCTGCTGAGATGTGCGAGATCACAGTATGGACATGACTTGCACATGACTTGCACAAGCAGACGATGTCCCAACATCTCACACATTTTCAGTGCCTGTGTTTTCATCTTTTCTTGAGTTCTTTCTCTTACTTCACTACCGTCAGGCTAAATTTATAATCTATTGCCGCACACATGCCCCGTGTCCTTCTGTAGCTCCATCACCGTGGTCCGGATAGCATCTATTTCTTCCAGTCGACTGACGTTCAGATTTGTTTCCTTCTCTCCTTCTCACTACGCAGTTGATAATAATTATCGCTGTTGAGCGATCATCTCGATAATGATCTTTCCTGAAAGGCATTTTCCTCATCGTTTTCTCTTGGGTAATAGATTTGTATCCCGAACATGAAGAATGACAACACGTCATACAGTACGAACGAGTAATGTATCTAGGGAATAGACCAAGTTTGCGGGGTTTCAAAATGGCGCAAAATAACAAAATTGAAGGGAAATTTATCTCTTGAAAAATATATTGACATAATCAAGAATACACGGTTAATACTCTTTTCTCAGCCACACCAGCAAATGTGGAGGGAGGGGGGGGGGGGTAGAATCAGATCTGGCAAAACCTTTTAATTTCATTTTCCGTGACTAAGCTTCTTGGAGTTGGCTAAAAGTGGCGCTTGTACATGTAACAGGCATTAATTGACAGTGGTTACAGCGAGAGCACGTGCCCCAAAATCAAGTGGTTACAAAAAAAATGGAAGATGACGCGTTCCATTTCCCAAGTAAGGCCGGTGCCCCCACCTACCCCCCCCCCCCCCTCCCAATACGCTACGCCACTCATAATCAAAATGTGAAAAAGAAGCACTCACAATGCAGAAAACACTTAAAAATTGATACATCTTTAACAAACTCTCGCATTCATCTTCTTTCTTGTTTTATTGCATATATTTGATAACAGCAAAAGAAATCATTCAAGTACACTGCATCTCTTCAATTCATGAATGTATAATATAATATCTAGGGTATTTCTATTTTACAGTATTGTAGTATACAAAGTTCGTTTGTTTCATGGATATACTAGCGCATGTTTGATTATTTATGTACATGTATACATAGCGTATAAATTCCTAACATGATATAAAAAAACAAAGTTCGAAGGAAAACACAGCTGCAATTAACGATATTCCATCAACACGAAAACTACGCCCAAAATACTCAAGTAAGAAATATAAGTATTTCACTCATAAGTACTAGATAAAATACTTTAGCCAACTTGGCATTCAGTTGAAATTTCGGCTATAAATATAGCCTTACCCAAGTCTAAAAAAAAAGCTGGCAATGGAGCTGGCAGTGGTAAATAATATGGGCCGCCCACAAGCACATTCATTGGAAAATTCTTGTTTAGGGGAACAATATCCCACTCTCTTTCAGAGAATTAACCTGTTTTGCATTTTTCAAAACACCCCTTAAAACATACTTTTTTCCTCAGTAACTTAATTAATACGATTTACCTTCTTTTTTCTTTTTTTACAAGTCTATGGATTTCATGTTTCTTTCTCGCAATCTGTAATTTTATGAGCGGTACTATTTTTTGTTTCTAGCGCTTCTAAATTATAGATATTATTATTACTATTGTTATTATTATTATTATTATTATTATTATTATTATTATACTTATTATTATTACTATAACGTTATTATCACCTCGTGGTAAATCAACTTTAAGCATTTGAATAGGCCTCATGTTGAAATATGCGAACATGACAATGACGTTATCCGAAGTTATTTGGATTTTACAAAAAAGGGTGTTAAATTAGATTTTTCAAAAAAAGAAAAAAAAAAACCACACCACATGTTTCATCCACAGCAAAAATACACAACAAATGAGGTCACTGAAAAATTGCCAGTGGCGACATACAATGTCGAAAAGCAAAATTACTGTAATTTTGCTAATAATTAATATTTTGCCACCCTACTTTTTGGAAAGTTTCCAATATGATTTGTTTACTATATTTTGACCCTTTAAAATTGTTTAAGATTGTTACTGTGCAAATCCCTGCACTCTTTACTTATATAACATGTCATGTGGACACAAACTACATAACTGAATGCATTTCACATTCCGGTAAGTAAACAAACATTATTATTTCACAATTCAAATCAAAATTAATAAAAGTGTAATACATCACATGCAAACAGAAATAGATAAAAATACATGTAATAAATGTAATAAATCCAAAAAGCTATGAATGGCAAGACAAAATAAGCAGGAAAATACAATAATCGGAGTAAAATATTTTGTGAAAAAATAACAATTGTTATCTAACTGCAGTTTTGATCTACTTATATTTGCTGGACAAACAAGGATAATGAGAAAAAAATAAATGAAATGGCAGATTTTTTTCCAACATACCAATGTCAGCAAACAAATATCACTTGGAATGAATTGATTTTCCTTTTCCCCTACATGATCATATACTCATCTTTACTTAAAAAGCTCATGAATATACACATAAAAAGGTAGAAACAACTTGCCATGCATGCTACAACCCACAAGACCAACAAAGTTAGCAATGTCTCATGGGCCTTGTGACAAATATACTTAGGGATCACTCCACAGATTCCAGTCATAAGAAATATCAACAAAAATAAGATGAAAAGAAGGAAAAAATGGCAAGATAAATAAAAGGGAGAAAAACAATAATTCACCAATCAGTATCAATGTCTCCACCTCAACAGCGTTTCAAGGATCCCTGAAGAATTGGGAGAAAAATGGTGCATACTCGCTCAGTCACAATCATGATCTCCAACTTACAATATTCTTTGATTAATGTTCATGAAAACTTGAGCAAGTTTTTGATACACACCTAAAGCCCAGCGCACACTACACAATCATCCTACGCTCTGATTTTCGTAGAAAGGACAGTTAATGCGGTTATATTAGATAATAAAATCTAAAAAGTCACTAATCCTTCTAATTTAGGTTCTCATTAATGATAAGATTATAACAAACCAGGATTTAGTGCATTTAACGCTTCCAGTCAGAAGAAAGCTGATTCGGCGTTAACTCGTGAGACAATCGCACATGTAGCCTACTGGTCTGACGTCACTGCGATTCTGAGCCGATCTAGCATTTCCCTCTCCAAGGAAGTATGAAATCCCTTGAAATCTAGATTTTATTAATCATATGACTATTCAGATCCTCTGTCATTGAGATTTAATATGTGCGAATGTTCATATGAAATGCTGTAGTAAATTCTTCCAAAGTCGGACCACAGTTGGATCCTGTAGTGTGTGCTGGGCATTAGGAAGAAAACTTAAAATATATAAATTCAGGGATGCCAGTAAGAATTGATCAGAGGGCCTGAAAATCATTTAGAATGAGCTATTTTGTACACACAAAAAAAGCCCAAACTATGGTTTGAACATAACTCACCAGGGCCTGAAAACTGGCATCCCTCAGTGATTTATTACAAGCTATTCTTATCACCATCAACACAATTCTGATCAGTTACATCATCCCTGAAATGCACATATTTCTGCTATGCATAATAACGGATTATCCTCGAAAGAGGAGGCCATACAAGACCTGGCTAGTAATTTATTATTGCATGGCTTGGACACAAGTAGATTCCTGGAACAGAATTATCCATCTGTGTAAAACTGACTGACATGATCAAACAAAAGAGGGCAGCATGCACCTTTTCTCACAAAAAACATGAGCTAACAGGAATACACATCTAGAGCTGTGCAAGTCCATCCTTTTTTTTTGTTTCACACTGCAGGCCACATATAAGATTTTAGTATTTAAAGAGATGATTGATAATACAAAAAAAAAAAAAAAAAAAAAAAAAAAAAAAAAAAAAAAAATAGCAACGAAAACAGACACACTATAAATGCAATCTTGTATGGATTCCATGTGGACAGTGCCACGGATAAAGGAGGAAGCAAATATCATGATCTCTGACTTAAATATTCTCAGATACATGTCTTGTTTTGCTGCTTTTTTTATTTCAGTATTTCTGAAATTTTTATCAAAATGATATTCCTACTGGAACTGGGATCAGATTAACTTTCAATGGAAATGTTCTTTTGTTATCAATTTAAGTTTGTAAGTACAATTTGAGGGTTCAGTAATACAAAGACGTAACTCCATATTTTGTCAAAATGAGTATTTGATATCAAAATGTTCAGAAAAATGTGGGCTTTCCAGGAAACACAAAGCCTTAACTCCACCCAACACCCCATTGAAGTCGATGGTTAGTGAAACACAGACTAAAAGGGAAGGGGTGGGGATCAAAACATTTGCTTTTCTTCGAAATTATTCTTACGATATTCACCATGATATTCACCATCTTGCATTAATCAAATGTTTAGTTGCACACATGTAAATAATCAGCACCCGACATGCTCTTAAACTACAGCTGATTACATGTATGTACACGTATACAAGATCATGCACAAGAAGTTACTTTCCTTAATTTTGCTCTGTTGTAGACTTGTAGTGTATATTCACAATACTAATAAAGGAACAATAATTGAATAATGATTATTGCCACTGATCAGTTGCATAAGTAAATCTTGATTGTCAGATGAATATCTTGCAAACATTGTTGTACAATTAAACCTATTCACATGGAATAGTTAACCATATCGATAGCAATTTTATGAAATTGAAATCTGAAGAACATCTAAAGACCAAATTCATGGATGTATAAACACAAGTTATTGCTTCTCTTTAATTTTCTATAATATCAAATCAAATAATATGGTATTCTGGGCCCCTTTGCACAAAACTTACCATTGATGGTAACTTTGCCATCAACGGTAACTACCATGAAAACCTTGATTTTGATTGGCTGTTGAGCCCTGTTACCATGATAGTTGCCATTGATAGTAAAGTTACCATCAATGGTAAGTTTTATGCAATGGGGCCCTGATTCTCCAAGCTATGCTGGACCCTACATCCCTTCTGCAGAATATAAGGACAGGGCATACCAGGGGGGCGACTCACAAAAATTGTCATCAATGACAAATGACAGTTTTTGTTATAAGCTACTGAAATCCTTGCTTCTGATTGGTTATCAGCACTGATTTTTGTATTTGTCATTAAAAAAAGGCTTTGTGAAACGGGTCCCTGAACTCTATAAATCCTCTAGGCGACGTCAGTCAGCAGACTTGTTGCATTATACAAGGGTTGCATGCATGAGAATGAGTTTATTATACGATCTATCCGCATGTCAGTTGGGGCTATATGCATCTTTCGTGTTTAGTTTGACGGCTTCGTATGATAGGTGCTTAAACAGCCGCAACAAGAGCGGATAGGTCCTGTAATGAATGAGTGAAAACATGCATCATTTGTTTTATATAAAAACTCCTAGATCCTTGTTATTTGATGTAGAAAAGAAATATTTCCAGATTGTTTTGTGTCAATCGGCTACAAACAAACCCCTAATTTACTAGGCTTACTTTAAGGCACATACAGAGAAAAGCACAAATTCTTCTATATGCATTTACAACTTTACATGCAGTGCTACAAAAATATAGGCCCACACAACGTGGACTAACCTCTATGCCACTCCTGCCCATCGCATACTGAAAAATCATTGGATAGCAATAGAAACTTTTGCACGCTTTTCCATGAAAAAAACGTTAGATAGTCTCAGTAAATGAATCACACATAATCCTGTTTGACCAATCATTTCATTAGGATCTAGGAGTAAGTTTTACAACATGTATTTTGCATGCTTTCACCTCTCAAATCCACTTTGAACCACGATCTCCCAACACTACTATAACAAACAAACTCCAATGTTCTCTTACCGGGAATATTGACACGACTCATCTGTCATTCATCCACAAATCTAGGCACTCAGTTATTATCCGTCCCACCTGCAGTGTTAACTTTCTGTCTGTCAATGGAATCTATGATGGACACAAGATACTGGTCAATCAAATGTTTGGCCAGCTCGGACACCTCACCGTCCATCCCTCCTCCCTCCCTCAGGTCATCTGCATTAGCCAGGTCATCTACACCCATGCCTCTGAAGCCGGGCAAACCCATGACAGTTTCCCCTGGTGACGTGAAGCGATTGGCGTCCTGTCCTTCATAGTTGGTCTGTCCTAGCAACACCCAGTCTTCTTCTCTTTTCATATCAACACCAGGGTTGCTCTGTGACTGATTCATGGCTGTCTTCAATGCCTCTACTTCTGCATGTTCAGCTGGGCTTAGGCTGTGAGTGAAACGAGTGGACACGTTCTTGATGAATTCGTCCACTTGATCTGTCTCTTCCTTGAGCACCTGTCCAGACTGAAGATGATGCACAGTGGAATCTCCTGAAGTTACTGGCCATGTGAAGTCCACCTGATCTACATGGATGTTATCATCAAAGGGACCTTGGGGACTGGTTTCATCTCTATTAACAGAAATGTCTTTGTTTGTTTTCTGTTTCTTTGTTTTCTTGTTGCGAACAACTTTCTTTTTTGCCTCAGAACTCTTCACTCTGATCTCCTTATCCTCCTGCTTTACAACAGATGCCTTTGCCCTTCGTCTACCAACCTGAGATTCACTTTTAGTCTTTTCAACAACTTCTGATCTACAGCTTCGGCCCTCACTGCTGTGGTCGCAACTCACAGTCTCAGAAGCAAAGTGCTCGATGATATCGCTACTGTCCGCTTTGCCAGTCTGCAGACATGGCACACTCCCTCCTGGAGCTGGACGCCCCACCATCCCCTCACTCTTACTCTCGCCAACCTTACGTCCTGACATCCGAACGGAGCCAGACTTGCTACTCTTGCTGTTACTAAAAGTGTCCTTCATTGCACCCTCTTTCTTGCTCTTGGTTGGTTTGGTGAGAAAGCCGGCACTGCGACAGAAGGCCATGATACAGTGCAAGTTGCCACCGGTTCTCTTCGTCCTCCTCTGCTGCACTCCAAGCCGCAGTTTGCGGATGTTGAGATAGTCAGGGTTCTGGCAGTTCAGATCGGTGCTGATGTCCTCCCATCTGAAGGTGGAAAATCAGGGGAAAGATAGCATATAAATACGCAAGAAGAAGAGATTGGTGGTAATGACAGGCAATGATGAAAATCACCAGATCAAGGAAAAGAGGGGCTGAAGAGGTAACATGAAGGAGGATAGGATACTTGTTATCTTTATAAATCCCTATCCCAGCATGCATAACAAAATTGATAAATGCCTCACATACTGTGTACTTAACCATCTGACCGTATAAAAATAGTTCAAAACTTCATATTTAAGAAATACAGCTATGGCCTCCTGCTATCTCAAGCCTTTTCAATCCCTCTGGGATTTATTAATCTTTGTATTGGATACGGTAGATTGAACGTTTTTCGATTAAGCTGAACAAACAAGGACCAAACAAATGATGTACATTATCTAGTGTTCCTGCATGCTTACTTGAAACAGTGGATTCCTGGTTGCTTTCTACTAGGATCACCGATCAGTATCCATGTCTCTACCTCATCAAGGTTTAAAGGATCCCTGCAGAAGTGAAAGAAAAACAGAGAGCATATTGGCTCAGTCATTAAACCATCTACATAAGGAACCAGAGAAAATGGGACTGAATCCAGCCCATGTGGATGATTCCAGTGAATGCTGTTTGTTAAAGAGGGTGTAAACTGACGAGGCTATGTGTCTTTCCCGTGGCCTGACTCGGGGCCAATCGGGTATAGTACAAGTACCGGCGCAACCGCAGCAATCACGCTCGTGCAACATACGCGAAACCGAAGCGTGAGGAGAACTTCAGTCTATTTCGCGAACGCTGACCATGTAGAGATTAAGTCGCTGACTACTGTTAATCACGTCCATTCATTTAGTTGTCCAAAAGGAGACGTAGATGGTATTCCCCTGTATTGGTCAGTTTACACTCCCTTTAATGGGCCCCTTCTCCTGTTCCAATGACACTGGTAAGTATACCAGTGTAAAAACACTCTCCTTCATATAGGACATTAAAGATGAAGTTGAGTTGTGGTCATGCGATTGCATTATGAAAGAAACGGTGTGGAACCGACCAGAAAAGGTTGATCATCTAGCATATAAGAATGTGTGTGTATTGCAAGGTTCTGGAATCATCAAAATGATAAGAAATTTGGCCAAGTCTTGGTAAAGTTACAAACACTTGCACAGAAAGATGTATATGAGACTACACGAACACGTGGCGTAAAAAGCCGGCCCCCGATTTTTACGATGTTACATGCATATTTAGAATATGAAGGCATTTGAAGAGCCATGCTTTTCAGGGAACATGTCTTAACTGATGTTCTTCGACACTTGCACAATAAGAATGAGTAATGCTCACAAATAATTTTTCACCTCTTCCCAGAACTCAACCTTCTCTTTAAATGGAGGTCCCTTGTGTAGGAGAGTTCATTCCTATGCATGACATGTAACCCACTCCAGTTTTAATAGAGAGCAAACCCCTGTGTATAGTTGTAGTACACTGCATAACAGGCAGAGACTCTGCAACTCTGACACTGATTATTATAAGGATTCTGTTTTGGGGGAAATAATGAACTTTCATTTGACATCACCCCCCAAACAAGTGCAAAACCTAAGCCTGAAAGTCAATAAAGTGACTGATTCAGTTCACTTTATGAGCTCTATAATATGAGGACTTTGCATTTAATTCTCAATGAAATTAAATGACTTGAAAGAATTTCATTCTCAATGAAATTAAATGACTTCACTTGATGAATGAATTTAATTGGAAATCTGATATTGAACATTGAAACATTAATAAGGTCTGATATTAAAGATAAACTTTAGTACTGGTAATGCGATTGCATTGTGAAAGAAAAGGTGTGGAAAGGATCAGAAACAGTTGATCATGTAGCATGTAAGTATTGGTGTGCACTGCAAGGTTCTGGAGTCATCAAAATCATAATAAATTTGACCGAGTCTTGGTAAAGTAACAAGCACATACACAGAAAGCTATGTATGGGACAACACGCATGGTGTCGGGGTTGGTACTACCTTGATTCCTTGTCTTTCTATGCTCATTACTCAGCCAGTATACATTTTCTTCCAAAATTGTTTGGCACATGTCATTTATTTGTAATCTTGAACATTCAGTGTAAGTTTCGTTTGATTCTGTGAGAAATAATTTTCTTTTTTTTACCAGTACTCAACCTTCTCTTTAAACATTGAAACATTAATCAAGTCTAATATTGAACACTGAAACATTAATAGCTTAATGTTTTAAGGTTCACGCTTTAAAAAAAAGTTTTTGTTATACTTCTAGAAATTTAGAGGGGGTGATGTCTCGACTCTCTAGGCTGTCTTTTGTTCCTTGATACCGGTATATCTTTTTTGAGCAAGCAAAAATGTTAAAACCTAATTATACATGAAGTGAAAATGTAATTTTGTTAATAAATATACAATCTTAGAAATATAACTTGTGAGAGAAAAGGAAAATTCTTGAACTGGAACTATTGGTAATTTCAAATGTTCTTGGAAGAGCTGCAGCCCCCCTCCCCACCCCTTATACAGTCAAACCTGATTTAGCGACCACCTGTATAGAAAGACCACCTGTCTACAAAGACCAAATTTTTTTGTTCCCCTTGAAAATGGTTTCTTATTGAAACATGTACCAAAGGAACCTGTACATAAAGACCACCTGCCTATGAAGATCACTTTTCTTGTCTCCCTTGTCTTTATAGATAGGTTTCACTGTATCTCACGGGTCTTTGACATCAATACTAACCTGTATGCATCTACAGCCTTCAGAGGCACATCTTCGTATCCAATGGGGCAGAAGTAGTGGTTATGGCAGTGGTATATGAAAGCCATGTTAGGATCCTATGGCAGAATTATGGTCAGAGTAGAAACAAAAAGTTCATCAATCATTCATCAATCGTTAATCAAACTAGATGGAATTCGACTGCGCGCAGTCGAAAATGATGCCTCCGTCATAGAGCAATTTTACAAACCAAAACAGAAGAAATTTTTCGGATTCAAGTTCAATTGTAATCCATTGACAGGTTCTCAGAATATCGTGATTACAAGCAATTTCTCATATACATATATATATGACCCTTTAATCTTTGACCTCATGACCCTAAAATCTACTCAGTTCATTGGCTCTGCAAGATGTCCTGAGTTAAATAGTAATCCATCTGTCAGTTCTAATGAGAATGCGTTCACAAGCTATTTTTGCATACATAATGAGCCCATGATCTTTGACCTTTGACCTTATGAACCAAGAATCTACTCAGTTCATTGGCTCTGCAAGTAACATACATGACCTAATTTTGGCAGGAATCCATCAATCGGTTCTTGAGATAACGCGATCACAAGCTGTTATTGCATACATAATGTGTGCTGTGGCCTTTGACCTTTGACCTCATGACCACTAAATCTAATCAGTTCATCGGCTCTGCAAGTAACATACATGACCTAAGTTTGGCAGCAATCCATCAATCGGTTCTTGAGATAACGCGATCACAAGCTGTTTATGCATACATAATGAGCCCTGTGACCTTTGACCTTTAACCTCATGACCCCAAAATCTAATCAGTTCATTGGCTCTGCAAGATACATACATGACCAAAGTTTGGCAGGAATCCATTAATCGGTTCTTCAGATAACGCGATCACGAGCTGTTTTTGCATACCTGATGAGCCCTGTGACCTTTGACCTTTGACCTCGTGACCCCAAAATCTAATCAGTTCATCGGCTCTGCAAGATACATACATGACCAAAGTTTGGCAGGAATCCATCAATCGGTTCTTCAGATAACGCGATCACGAGCTTTTTTTGCATACCTAATGAGCCCTGTGACCTTTGACCTTTGACCTCGTGACCCCAAAATCTAATCAGTTCATCGGCTCTGCAAGATACATACATGACCAAAGTTTGGCAGGAATCCATCGATCGGTTCTTCAGATAACGCGATCACAAGAACGGGACGTACGTACGTACAGACGTACAGACGTACGTACGTATGTACGGACGGACAACCCGAAAACATAATGCCTCAGGCTACTTCGTAACGGAGGCATAAAAAGGTGGCATATATTTGTATACATGCCATGGAGACTCAGGGCACTCGAAGAATGAAACAAATTTTGTTCAGACCCCCTCCTCCGACCCCCCCCCCCCCCCCCCCCAGAAGTAGTGGTTATGGCAGTGGTATATGAAAGCCATGTTAGGATCCTATGGCAAAATGGTGAGAGTAGAAACAAAAAAGTCATCAATCCTTAATCAATCATTTATAATCAATCATTTAAGGTTTAGACCAGTTTTGGAAACGCCCCCCCTCTCAAAAAATGAAATGGAAGCTCTCATTACCAATCATGTGAAGAATATGTTTTGACTAATACGTGATGATACAAATTTTGCTGTGAAACCGCCTACCCGTACTAATTTCATATCGATCCGGCCTGGATAGATATCGGGAATGCACTTCAGCATTGAACATTTGGTCATATATTTCTGCTAATCTGCCATCTAAACCTCTGAAGGCAATATTTAGACAATATTGAATGGATATTTTGCACCCAAAACCCTTGAACAGCAATTTTACCACTACCGGTCTTTACCTTTAATCTGAAAAGATTGCGTGAATTTGTATACATGCCCTGGAGACTCAGGGCTCTCCAAGAATAAAACAAATATTTTCAGACCCCCCCCCCCCCCCTGCACTTGCAGTTATCAAGTTAATAAGAACTGTCCATATTGTATATTTCTAAGCATTAATCACCATCTATACTTGTCGGAACAATAACTGAAAAGTAAATAGCAGAAGAAAAATATGATATTCCTTTATAGTAGAAATAAAATATGGATTTAAATCCCCCCAAGGAATTCTAGCGTCGTCTATCTAGATATTCAATTCCGAGGCGCATTTACCCCCGCTTTAGCCTAGCTGCCTTTACAGCGCTCCAGCATTTCAAGGAATTAATTCCTGCCAGGTACCCAATTACCTCACCTGGGTCGAGTGTGGCAAATGAAGATTAATGCCTTGCCAAAGGACATAAGTGCTGTGTCGGGGATCGAACCACGACCTTTGAATATCAAGTCAAGTGCTTAGCCTACTTGACTACGACACTTCCATGTACACATACAACGTAAGTCTCAATGTTCATATCTTCGTACCCAAAGGGAATGATTTCTCTGCTAGATCTTCTATATAACTACCAGAAAACTGGGGACCACTGCAAACCAAAAATAAAAGTGCACATCTTAAACCACACCGTATGTGTATTGTGTTTGTACAGACGTGTTTCAATCAGATAAGATTATTTACGTCTGGGGACTGACATTTAAACGTCACCATACGAAAGACGCGACTCAGTTTCGAACCTGCGTCCTCGGCTGAATCAGTTTGCAACTTCCACTGATAGCTGGATTACAGGCCGCACGCCACAACGCCTACTTGAACATTTCAAGTGCTTTTATTGGAAATTGTCAAAAAATTTGAGAACACTGGGGTCCATTAATTGTACTGACCTTCAACCCTTGTCGTAACAGATGTAAACCTTGGGCAGACGTTCTTCCCACTGTCCTACTCCTGCCATGGGGTTTGTACTGGAAGTATGCCCTTCCTCGCACTCTGTAGTGATCATTCAGCTGCTTGAACCACCTGTCAATGACAGTAAAGATAAACCATAGTTAGTAGCTAGATAATTGCACCACATGACAGTAGAGATAAGTAGAGTAGAGATAGTTGTACCAGAGTAAGATTTCCTAGCATAATGAATTACGTACATGTACATATATTTTATTCTTTTACCAGATAAATATAAACCATAGCTAGTAGAGTAGCGATTGACTGATTGAAGGATTTTATTGAGTATTATCCATTCTCGCAGTCCAAAGACTGAATTGCAATGGTTACAACAGTTTACAATGTATATACATGATAAAAGCAATTATACAATAATATAAAAAATAATATCGCTAGTGACATAAAACATGCTTGCTTACAATATATTTTATATAGATAATTGCACCACATGACAGTAGAGAATATATTAGAGTAGAGATAGTTGTACCACAGTGAGATTCCTTGCATAATGAACTACATGTACATGTATTTTATTGTTCTTTTACCAGAGCATTCCTGCAGCATTTTTATAGAAACTTATAAAGCTATTGCAATCCCTTGATGCTCTCATGTCTTTATTCTACTTTTACACATGTTTCATGAGCTTTATGGGGAGAATCAAACACCAGTTACATGTATGATGAATACAATGAGTCATGAAATATGTTCAGTTTATACAGATTTAATATGTATAAGGGGCAGAGAAAGACTAAACATTGTTTATATATATATATATATACATGACTGTGTAAAGCTTGACTGTGTAAAGCACCTATGAAATACAAAAGTAAAATCACATTCAACTTGTAAATGAATTGTGGAAAAAATAGCTACATGGAACAAAAGTCTGTAATACTCACTGAACCGTGCACAGAAATGAAAGGCATTATGCATTAGGCATTTTATTTGGCGTTAAGGGTTCTTTATTCAATGTTAATAATAATAATAATAATAATAATAATATGTCTTGTTTACCCAGGGTAGCCTCATCAGTATTTAAACTGTTCTCCCTGAGGGCCCTGCAATCATATTATTACCCCGGTCATCGGATTCAGGCTTACCCGCACACAATGTATGCACATTCTCCACTCCCTGGGGAGAATTCAGCCAGGCGTCATTTTACAAGCGCATACTTGCTAATCTAGGCACATTAGCTTTCGCATCCTACTGGTACCCATTTAACACCTGGGTGGAGAGTGGCAAATGTAGATCAATGTCTTGCCAAAGGACATTAGCGCATATTTTGCGAATGAGGGTTCAATGCTATACTTACCTCATGAGGGTGGCATTCCCTGTGAAAGGCCCAAAACGGATCTCACCGAAGGGTGGTTGGAACCCCAGGACGTTAAGGGCTTGCTCCTGGGTGATGGGGGGCATGGTGCCCCCTCCTAGGGTGCTGAACAGGTAGTTCCAGCAAGAAACCAAGGACGATAGGCCACATGACTTGCTGTACTGGGGTCTACTCACACAAAACCTGTCAAGAATTTGAAATTATATCAGGTGGTGTTTCGCAAAGACTAAAGATCGACTTTGGCAGGCCATTAATGCCACTGGTTGCTCTCACTATTGGTCTTTCAATTATGATCTTTAGATAATATTTTTAACTTCCATAATTAACTATCAAAAAAGGTAAATCGATCTGTAGATTTGTGACCACGATTTGTACGTCCCTTGATAAACCAATGCCAGGAATGGTTAGAGGAACTAGTGACATGAATGGCCTGCCATAGTTAAGTCAAACTTAAAGTCGATCTTAGTCTTTGTGAAACACCCCCCAGAGGTGCTCTCTAACATGATCATTTCAGTGGTGTGATGGCGGGAATCAGTCTGACAACTGTAGTGTATTGTGTCTATGGAATTTAGGGATTCAATACCATATCTAAAGAGCCAGAATCGTAATTTCCAAAGTTTGGGCCAAATCACTCAAGATAAAAATCTGTAGATTTTCTTTTAGGTAATGTTCACAATCACCACCATTATCAAAAAATTCTCTATTATTCAAACTAAAGCCTATTTAGGTTTTCATCTATGATTTTCGCCTTCAATAAAGTACCCTCACTACCGTAAGCATTCTATTTGTATTCAACATTGTATTTGGAATCTTTGATTTGCTTTGGTCAATTACAAAAACAAAAACAAAACAATTTTATTTAGGGAAGCATTCTACAATACAAGTTATACAATCCAGCTGCGCAGGAGTTGAGGCTGTGTGCACCTATCTCGCGAAGCCGTCAAGCTCAGTACGATAGGTGCATAAACAGCCTCAACAAGAGCAAATCTATCTTTTCATGAACAAATGAAAACATGCATTATTGTTTTATATAACGAAACTCCTAGATCCTTGTTATTTGATGTACAAAGAATTCATTTCAAGATTGTTTCATGTCATTGTATCGCTGACAAATAAATCCCAGGTTTAATAGGCTCACTTTTAATAGCGCGCACACAGAGATAAGCGCAAGTAGAGGCCTCTGCCCTCACACAGTAAAAGCCCACTAATCCTCTATGAGCACTGCTGCACATAATGTACCGGTACTTAAAAATTGTTGGATAGTACTGGAATCTATTGCATGTTTTAAAAAAAACATGGGACAGTCTCCGTAAATGAATCACAAGTGAACATGTTTGGACAAATTACAATAATACACTGTTTCTTAGTTCTATTTTGTTCTCAATTGTTCTTAAATGTGTAAACTAAGTGTTTGTGACATTAATACAGTAATGTTAAAACATTTTCTAGGCAATGTACTATTATAATTATTATTACTTAGATCTTGTATTCAATACTGGGAGTACATCAGAATTCTTTCTGTGCAAAACATTCTCAAAGATTTCCAGAGATTAAAAAAAGAGAACTTACCATCTCTTTTGGTCCAAGCACTTTCTCTGTGCTAGGAGCTCAGGTGTTGTTGATACAGTTGGCGGGATATAGGCACTATCCATGCTACCTTTCGATGAACTTTTCCTTGATTTTGCCTTTGAGAGTTCTACAGAGAGACAACAAATGCAGAACTTACTAACCTCAATCAAGATCAGAGCTGCCCACCTTGTGCAACCAAAAAATGGAACCATGATGGCAAAAAAAAAAGGAATTTCAAGCAAAAAAAAAGGAATTCATTAAAACAAAACTTACATCCATGCGCTAAACACTTTAAAAGCAGAAATGTCCATTCCTCATGCTGTTTTTTCCATACAATCAGGTATTTTGGAGGTTATTTTGGTATTATCGGCATTTCATTCTTTTTGAGAATATTTTTCTCTTGAAGTATTTGTTCAAGTATGTTTTAAACTTAGTTTTCTATTTATTTTGTGATCAAATCATCATTTTAGGGCAGTTGTTTGACGTGTGGTATGTAAAAAAAATAAATTAATTAAAAAAAAAATACAACAAATTATTAAATTAATTTAAAAAAAATATTTTATCAAGAAAAAACATACTACTGTAATTTGGAGGAAAAAAACAGTAATGGTTGGCAGCTCTGCAAGATGTCTTCAGAACTACAAGACAGCAGTTTATCATAGAGATGCCTCCTGTCACACAGAGTTGATCAACTATAGTACCCCTTGCATGAAATTCCGTCACAGAGGTAACGTAGTCAAGTGTGGATTGTCAATGGACTGTGGATCGCATGGTTTGCGTTTTGAGTCCTGTCACGGCATTAATGTCCTTTGCAAAGCAGTAATCTACATTTGCCACTCTCCAACAAGGTGTAGTAATAGGTACCTGGCAGGAAATTATTCCTTGAATGCTTGGAGTGCCTTAGGACAGCCAGGCTAAACCAGAGTAGTAACAGTACTGTGTATGTGCCTTAATTGAAGCATCCCCTAGGATGGATATGTGCACCATGTAAGTGAAGCGATTATCACTATTTTTTTAAACAAGCAAATACATGTACCTGTGCAGACTAAATTACTAATGAACTGTTGAAACTTTTGAATTTCCAACTTACGGTAATAACAAAAGACTTCAACTGAACATATTTTGGCAAAATTGAACCAATGACGACAAATAAAGATCCTTACTATTGGGTGGTCTCTTCTTAGTCTTCTTGGATCCCGTCATGTCGCTGACGTCTATCTCCCATGCAACCACCCTCTCAGGGGCACTGCACTCTTCTGCATGACTCTCAACAGGGACGATGGTCTCTTGGAGTGTGTCAGGTCGGTCAGCATTCAGGTAAGCTGTGACCCTGTATAAGGAAGGAGAGGAAATAAGTGAAGGAGGAGGAAGAAGATGAAGAAGAAGAAGAAGAGGAAGACAAAGAGGAGACGGAGGAAGGGGAGGAGGAGGAGAAAGAAGAGGAGAATTAGATGAAAAAGAAAAAAGGGAAGAAGGAGGAGGGAAAAAGATCACTCTTCTAGCACTCAAATATATGCTTCAGCGAAGTATATGTACATGTATGTAGGTATCAGGCTCTGTTTTAGAAGAGATAGCTACACAGTTCAGGTATACTGTTTGTAAAATGAACATCAATACCAGGATTAAATACCAAGGGCAAATTCTCCCTGGCAAAGGTACTGACAAGTGTTATAAAAAAAATGTCTATTTTCAACCACTCTCTTCTGGGCAGCCTGGATACGACACGTAAATAGTTGCTTACCCTTGCATCTGCTCAGCTGATGCAACTTCATACGGTGATGAGGGAGGTGGCAGTGGAATGCTGGAGAGCTCATTATCATCATCATCTTCCTTCATTAGGGAATATTTATCATTCCTCCTTCTTTGGTAATGGTGGTCATCCTCCTCCTCCTCCTCATCATCGCTGTCATTGTCATCATAGTCGTCAGTGCTGCTGTAGCTGCTTTCTTTGCGATCTACAGGTGAGGCAAGATCTGAGAATCTCGCAGTGATGTCTTCATGAAGCGAGGTGGGGTAATACTCGGGTGCTGTTACAAATGTGAGAAAAGAAAAAGAATAGCCTAAATAGTAAATTAGTGAATTCCTCATGATGTCGAACATTATGTAAAAAACAAGCAGCTTAATATTAGGTACTTGTGATGTATAGGAGGGAAAATAGTAGAAAAAAGGAAAACAAAGAGAAGGAAAACAAGGAAAATGTGTAAATTCATAGGGAGGGAGAAAGAGAAAAGGAGAAAGGAAAATCTGTTCCAAGTGTCATAACGGATTACTGAAAATTGTAAATAATACAATAAGTAGGCAGGATTTAAACAGAAGTTTCAATCAGACAATCAACCATAGCAGGAAGAGGCTACAACGAATACAATGTATCTTGGCAATGAAACGAGAATAAAATACACTGAATAATTAAAGCAAAGAAATGGAGGGTGAGAGGGAGTAATGTGCTTTTTATCTCAACAAATCCAGTGATTTACAGAATACTATTAAATGAATTTTTCTCTACATAGTTAGATTCCACATCACAATTACCTAGGTCATATCGAGACCCATCAACTTCGTCAGTTGTAAACTCTCCATCTTCTTTGACGGACAAGAAGTCTCCCAACACGTCATCACGAGCAGCAGCATCATCATCATCATCAGGGTAGACAATGGGAAGGAGTTCCTCCTCGGAGAAGTAGCTCTCCTCTGAGCCACAGAGATGTCTTGTGTTTTCCTGATCACTGGTTTCCTGGTTGTTGCTTTCGTTGTTGCTCTCGCTGCTGCTGTCCTCACTTCCCTCACCAGAGAGAACTGAAGGCCAGTTACCCATTATACCTCAGGCCCAGGAAAGGTCAAAGGTTATCTGAAAGTTGAGCCCAACTTTCTGGTTGCCTCAATGTATGCAAGGTTTGCAAAGCCTGTGAAATAGAAAAATAACAAAAATGGATGAGTAATACAAAAAGGGACCCTACCTCAGGAAAAAAATGGAGCTGGAATTAATCTAAAAATAATGATAATCTAAGTTAAAATGAAAATCATCTCTGAAACAAAATGTGAAACAAAATATTGTAATAGATCTAGATCTAGGCCTAGCTTAAAAAAGACAAGTAACAAGAAAGAAAAAAAAATCAACAAGTAACAAGAAAGTGACTTGGGCCTTGGCTTTGGGGAAAGAAAAATATCATCTCATCTCCCGGCTCCCTTGCCCTCCCCTCCCCCAAATGTCAAAAGGAAAGCTTAAAGGTAAAGACCAGTATTGGCAACGCCCCAATTTCAAAAAATGAAATGGAAGCTCTCATTACCAATCATGTGAAAGAATATGTTTTGACTAATACATGATGATAAAAAATTTGCCGGGAAACCGCCTACTAATTTATATATTTGGTAAACTTATTTCTCTCATGGTCTGGTGAGAGAGATAGGGTAGTCCCATATACATCTTTCTGTGTATAGTGCTTGTAACTTTACGAAGAATGGGCCAAATTTCTTATCATTTTGATGATTCCAGAACCTTGCAGATGCTAGATGCTAGATGATCAACCTTTTCTGATCGATTCCACAACGTTTCTTTCACAATGCAATCGCATGACCATTACTGGTCTTTACCTTTAACATGATCATGATGGTGACACATTTAACAAAGGAAAATAAATGCTATTCAATCATTAGAATGATAAATCATAAGATTAAGAGTTGTCATATTTAACCAACGTCCAACAATGTAAGGCCTAGAGTCTACTAGAAACTAGGCTAGATTTACAATATCTATAGACTCTAGGCCCTAGACCTATGCAACAATTAACAACCACAAAAACGAGGGGCGCGGCGAAACTGCCACTTCACTGTTTATACTTATAAGTTATAGATCTAGGTCCAGTCTAACAACGAGGGAAACTTTGCAAGACGTGACCCAGATCCAACCGAGACAGAAAAAAACGTTTGGTATGAGGAATTCTTTAATAAAACCAACATTTGTCAACCTTCCCATAGATCTGACAGATCGAGGTTAACTTGGTGGATTAACTTGCCAATTTTCGCTCAAGACAGTCAAGTCTCACGGAAAGTTTGCCCTTGGTTTTTTCTCTAGACTGAACGGTTTGATTTAGTTTAGAAAAAAATTATGATTAGAAAGAAAATATACTTATATTATTTTTTAATAAAATGCTATCGAAAATCATTGTAAAACATCACAAGGATAAGAAGGATTTACTTACACTAATCTGTCTGTTTTCCCGAAGCTATATAATGCGCACAATGAGATTGAGAATCACACACAAACTGCTGCGGAAGTCGATGCCTGGATCGATGTTGTTTATTTTGAAACTATCTGTTTTATTTAGTCTAATTCAAGGCTAGCAAGGCATTTGTTATTTTTATTTATCTATTATTTTGTGACATTCTTCTTCTTCTTCTGATTAAGTCTGCCTCCTTCAAATCGACTGAACTAAGCTATGAAGCAAACTATATGCGTGTGTGTGTGTGTGTGTGAACCGCAATTTACGTTCATTCGAGTGCTATTTAATTATGATACACTTTATTTACAAATATTTACAAGCTCATATATAGGATGGAGGAAGACTAGCCACTGTCACCAACCCACCCACTGACCTCCAACAGATGGCGCTGCAACAATTTCTGAGGGCGGGGAACTGTTCTCGGAAAGAATGAATGCCGATGTGAATCAGTTCTCGAGTATGGTGAGGCGCGGATCCAACCCCCCCCCCCCCCCCCTGGTTAAAAAAAAACGTTAAAAACACATATATTTAACCTTTTTTAAATCAAAAATGAAAATGCCCCCCCCCCCCTCTAGACCTGGGGAAAAAAAAGGAAAACAATTATATCTAAGTAATTTTTTTTTTCCTGCAATGCGCGGGGGCAAAATGATTTTTTTTTTTAGTGTTCACTACCCCCCGGCCCCCCCCCCCCCCACTCAGAGGTCGGAATGACCGCATGCGTGTTGCCAAAATGTCCGGTAAAGGGGTACTTTTCGTGCGACAAAGTCCGGCCCGAGAATTGTACACATTTCCAAATATCCAATAATTTCAAATTTGAAGTCACTAGGTCAGAGGATGCATTTCCTTTAGGTAATGCGTCCTCTCACCTCCAAACAACCAGGAACATGGTCATCCCCATCCTTCCAATTTTCATATTGTCCAAAAGAAACATTCCCTCATTCTGGGTACTTTTTAACTACATCATAGCAAGTTTCACTCTACCTCAAAGTCCACTATAACATTCTTCAAAGATAGCTGACAAACTCAAGTGCAATCGGCCACAAGCCCTTGTACAAACGTACCACTCATCCCTCGTCTAGTACCAAGTCCCTACTTATATCTACAACTCTGCACGACTAATGTGAAGTGCTCATTCACAGCATACATTGGCAATTAACACATATCTCTGCTCTTCTAAAAAAAAAAAAAAAACAAAACAAAAAACAGCACCTATGACTATATAAAATATTAAAATGGATGTAAGTGAGTAATGCGTGACCATCTGTATTGAATATTATGATAACTCTCACAATAATATACAAGGTAACATTCCATTTATCATACCGGTTAGTATGTTAACATTTATCATTCATTAAATGTCGGATGCTCAGTCCACCTCATATTATTAACGATAAAGAAGAAACATCCTTACTTCACACATCTTCACTTGAAATAAAGAGATAGAATATGACATATCGCCTAATAACAGTGAACCCAAAAACACTATGAACATGACGGACAAAGAAAGAGGACAAAATATACAGTCCCTCATTCTACCCTCAACAATTGCTGTGGTAGACAAAGGAACATACCTTCACTGTTATTATGTAAAAATGTATAGAACAGGTGAATATGCATGTGACACCTGGGCCCCGTCTTACAAAGAGTTGATATCAATCGTAACTTATTTGCGATTGATATCATGTACATAAGAGATAGGAGACTGCAAACTTGCGATTGATTGGAGGACTTACGATTGATTTGGATCGATCGTAACTCTTTGTAAGACGGGGCCCTGTTCTACATATTTTTACATAATAGCAGTGAAGGGATGTTTCTTTGTCTACCACAACAATTGTTGAGGGTAGAATGAGGAACTGTATTTTGTCCTCTTTCTTTGTCCGTCATGTTCACAGTGAAAGTCGAAATGTTGCAAATCGGCGATAATCATGTTTTATATTTGAAATCTCGGAGTTTGTGGTAGACAATGTGGTAACCGGAGTGGCTAGAATACTATGGGTTAATTAACACTGATCTGCTGAGCACCATTTTGTATAATGCTCAATTCTTCCGATCAGAAATAACTCGGAAGTTGCGGTCTATACGATTCGAGTTCAAGAATATAGTTTGTCATGTTTGTTAGCAATCATTACCATAACACCTGGTTAGATTATGTTATGAACAAACTGAATTCAAATTCAGATTCAAACTGAAAGTATATTTATATGTAATCCCTTCAGATCATGTATATCCTAATCTACAAATGAAATGCAATTGCAAGTACTGATTACGCATTTCAAAATGTTTTCTGTGTTATCGTTTTAATTTTTCAAATCAAATATAGGCCTACACATAAAATGTCAGTGCATTATTGTATTGTTGATAACCCATGGTAAATAAAGGTCCATGAAAAATGAACTCACAAACAATGAGCCTCTCAGATAGTCTTTGACTCTGTTCTGACTGAGGGGCATTTTGACCCCCCCCCCCCGTTCCCGCACTATTAATTTATAATTTCACTTTCTAGATCATTTCGCACGAATCTTTCTTTTTTCTCTTTAAAAAAAATCAAAGTGCAATACGTCGAAACGAAATTTTTAGTGAAATGTGGACACGAACAAATATGTGTACTCACTTTTGTAACCGATAATAAAAATTAAAAAAAAACCACACGTGTGGTTTGCTTTTGTATTATTTTTTATTTTCTTGCTATGTGTTTCTTCCAATGTTCACGCACAAAGTATTTTTTTTCCCCCTTCCACAGGGTTCTTTATTTTCAAAACAAATTTCATCATATACAGAACATCCATATATCATATACAAATAATTAAAGAAATAATTTCCATACATAATGGCTTGACACAGATAATAATCATCACGGTCAAAAACTTTTGTGGCAGATAAAAACAAACATTTATGACAAGATTAGTACTTTAAATATATAATTTAAAAAAAATACCAAACATAAAATACATGATCATGTTTATGTTAGCACATTTCCAACACTCTCAAAATATTTTCTAAAGTGAAACCATTTCTTTTTTAGTTTATTCTCTCTGAGATTTGTTTGGTATATATATTTTTCCATTTCATAATAACGTTTTGCAGCTGATAAAATTATATCAAATGATGGTAGTTGATTTCGTAATTTAGCTGAAAATATTTCTTGTCTTACAACCATCAGAACACAGTTGAGTGCATTATTATTGCTACCATAAAATCCAAACAATTTATTTTGATTTGTAAATTTGATCCTTTCCCCCGTATTACGAAATATCCAGAACTCTAACTTCGACCATACTTCATTAGAATAGTTACAAAAGCAAAAAAACATGTATGATAGTTTCATCATTGTTACTACAAAAAGTACACTTCTTGTCAGCCACTACACCAAATCTTAACAAACTGTCCTTCATAATATAATATTCTATTTAAAATCTTGATTTGAAACCACCTCATGTTGATATCTATTGTTGACTGAAATGGAATTTGACAGTACGAACCCCAAAGTACATCTTGAAAATCTAAAAAACTTTTCCACTTTGTAAGGGCTTTACATTCTTTTACTTTGTTTTTTAGCAAAGACTGATAAATATGTGAACAACCAACATTTGTTTTCACCACAAGGTGCACGGCTTCGGGAATGATAGGTGCTAAGGCCTTACTAGGAGCTACATGTGTAGTCATTTTAAAACCTGACCGAATTGCATTACAAAGTACTGGTATCCTTCAAAGTTCAAACATTCTTTCATCAATAATCAATAATCTCTGCTGTTACTTCGTACGTTTAAAAGCTTTGTTCTCTCTATTATTGATTATGGCCAACCGGACTGGTTTATTCACAGTCGATAGAGGACATGTTAAAACACTTGAAAAGATACAGAAGCGAGCTACACGAGGCTCTAACAGAGAACACAGGAAATTCTCTTCTCAGGAAGCAGTCTATATTACGACTGAATTATAAAAATATACAGCAAAAGTATGATGACCATCTTGCGAAAATCTAAGGTGAGTATTAATACTAGAAAGTCATTTATTATTCGCTTTCCTCTGCCATTGTATATTGTACTGATGTATTTAATCAACAGTGTTGGACGAGAGTGGCAGCAAAGACCACAGCAAAATTTAGCTTAGGTCTCGCGATCCGCTTCTCCAATATCCGATGCTCATCATGTCCATGTATATCACCAAAGTTGGAACGGGAGTGCCCCAGGGGTCGATACTGGGATTCTTCGTACACACATCATTTTATCCATTTTATCAAAACATCCAGGTTATTTTGTAATGTAATTTGTTAAACATGAGCAAAATTATCCACTTTTGCAAAGATGGCACTTCGTCAGCGTACCAACATGCTTATTGCATGACCTTTATTATTTAGCATCTTTATCAATGAAATTTGTTATCTTAATTTCCAACACACGCACACACACACGCCGCCTTCTTATTTATGATGACGACTCGGACATTCAGGTAGCGGACCTTCGTATTTAAAGCTTGAATATTGTATATAACTTAAGTCCCTACAACCCCCTTTTCTGTCGCTTCCTTCCTTTGCTGAAGGTAAGGGACATGATATATCAACCCCTTGATGGCAACACACCTTCACCCCAACCACATCCCCTACTCCTGTTATGAAAGGCGACCCTCATTTCGTATAATGAATAGCGAAACTCATTTCATATTATGAATAGCTACCCTCATTTCGTATAATGAATAGCGACCACGTACTCCTATTATGAAAGGCGACCCTCATTTCGTATTATGAATAGCGACCCTCATTTTAAATTATGAATAGCAACCCTCATTTCGTATTATGAACAGCGACCCCCTACTCATGTTATGAATAGCGATCTCATTTCGTAACATGAATAGCTACCCTCATTTCGTATTGAATACCGACTCCCTACTCCTATTATGAAAGGCGACCCTTATTTCGTATTATGAATAGCGATCCCCTACTCCTATTATGAAAGGCGACCCTCATTTCGTATTATGAATAGCGAACCTCCTTTCGTATTAGGAATAGCGAACCTCTTCCCGTATTATGAATAGCGACCCTCTAATCCCATCATGAATAGCCACCCTCTACTCCTATTATGAATAGCGACCCTCATTGTCTATTATGAATAGCGACCGTCATTTCGTATGATGAATAGCGACCCCCTACTCCTAGTATAAATAGCGACCCCCTACTCCTATTGTGAATAGCGGCACTCTACTCCTATTATGAACAGCGGCCCTCATTTCGTATTATGAATAATGACCCTTATGAATAATAACCTTATGAATAGCGACCTTCATTGCGCATTATGAATAGCAACCCTCATCGTTTGAAGGTTTGCATGGTGGTATGAATAATCACGGTAGAGGTTTACGGTACACCATGTGTAAAGTCCTAGAAGGACTAAGGAAAGTGGATAGAAAATAGAAGTGAAAATAGAAAGGCGAGAAAGTGGAGGTTGGAAGGAAGAGTATCTTTCAGAAGTGAGTATAGTCCTGAAAAGGACTGTAAACCAGAAAGTTGTAGATAGGATGAGAGGTTTGAGTAGAAGACTGGATTGAGTTGGAGAGTTGAGTAGAGTTGCAGACAGGAGCAGGAGAGTAGACTCGACGTTTCGGACAGGTTGACTGTCCGTCTTCAGGAGTGAGTATGAAGACTCTGAAGACGGACAGTCAACCTGTCCGAAACGTCGAGTCTACTCTCCTGCTCCTGTCTGCAACTCTACTCAACTCTCCAACTCAATCCAGTCTTCTACTCAAACCTCTCATCCTATCTACAACTTTCTGGTTTACAGTCCTTTTCAGGACTATACTCACTTCTGAAAGATACTCTTCCTTCCAACCTCCACTTTCTCGCCTTTCTATTTTCACTTCTATTTTCTATCCACTTTCCTTAGTCCTTCTAGGACTTTACACATAGTGTACCGTAAACCTCTACCGTGAATAACCCTCATCGTGTTATGAATAGCGACCCTCTACTCCTATTATTAATAGCGACCCTTATGAATAATGACCCCGATTTTGTTTTATGAATGGCGACCCTCTTTTCATATTATGAATACCGACCCTTTTCTCTGATTATGAATAGCGGTCCTTATGAATAATGAACCTCATGAATAATTACCCTTTTTTCAAATTTGAAAAGCGGTACTTAGGAATGACCGATCTTATGAATAGCGGTCCTTACGAATAGCGACATTGACCCCTTTGCGGAATTCCACTTTTGGAAAAACGAACGTCGTGTATACAATTAACAACTTAATTATACCCCTTATAATTTTTTTTTTCTTCACTCGAGAATGAAAGATTGACAGTGGACTGCACTTTGTTAGGGCCTTTGTTGAATATGTTTAGATTTAGTTAGTTTTGTTATGTCACATTCTTAATAAACATAAATCGGGACTAATCGATTTTTCACACACTAAAAAAATAACAATAATTGGCAAGGGAATGAATAATGTCATTGCTGAACGTCCAATGTAGAAACCTACAAACTCCTTGGTCAATTCCACACCTTTTCTTCTCAATGCAATCGCATGACCAGAACTCAACCTTATCTTTAACCAAAGAAACTATTCTAAGACTCGTTCGTGTGGAGTATTATTTCTTGTGTTCACAATGCTCAACAATAGGGACTTTTAGATTTGCATGGACTATTACGTGTGACGTCCATTCAAGGCAGTGCATTAAAAGGACGTCGACCGTAGCAATCCACATTGTCTTCGTGCGAATCTAAAAGTCCCTATTGCGAGCGTTCGGGAGCGAGAAGATTTCGTATCAGCATAACAAATGAAAGGAGGTTCGTCTGTTTAACAACAGCGATTCATTCTGAATACTTTTTCACTCACTCAGCCCATGCCACCAGTGGTGAAGCTACGGGAGGGAGGGGGGGGGGGGGGGGGAATGGCAAAAGATAAGCTGAGTGCGAGGGGAGAGATAAGGGAACAGGAAACAGAAAGTGAGGGTTCTAGGACAGGTTACCCCCTGGGCAATCACCCCCGGAAAACTACCCCCCAAGGACAATTTAGCCCGGAAAATTACCCCCCGAGGACAACTACCCCCAAGGACAATTACCCCCGGAAAATTACCCCCCCGGAGAATTAATCCCCGAGGACAATTACCCCCAGGGACAAATACCCCCTGAGGACAACTACCCCCAAGGACAATTACCCCCCGGAAAATTACCCGCGGAGAATTCCCCCCCCCCCCCCCTAGGACAATTACGCCCGAGGACAGCTACCCCTGTTGGACAATCAGAATTTAATAGCAAAAGACGATCTGACCCATTGAGAGATGGCTACGAGCACATAAGATCCCATGCATGAACCCATATTCGTTCAAAAACTATAGCACGTTATCTTCCTCATTAGTACACATTTCCCTTTAATTATAACTTTTGCAACGCCAGTGCGGTTGCTGATTTCCACGTAGGATGTAAGTTTTAGGTTAATGTCCAGCGCTTCTTAAAAGCATAGAAATACATTTCTCTAGAGCAGCGTTATTTCAATGACTCTGGCACTCGTCAAGTGCTATGTACACACGTATAGGCAAATTTGAGAATAAAGAAGGAGAAGACATTTTCAAACTGGTAAAAAATATTGTTTGTAATCAACACACTAGAAACGATTTAAATAACAGCATTCAGGCCAGTAGCCATTTTACAAGCGCCACTTGCTAATCAAACCACATTAAAATAATTTACCCAACGAGAAAACATATTATACTTCAGCATGACAACAGAAATATATATAGATAATTAATAATAATTAATTTGGGATCATGGATGAGGGCCCAGTATACTTACAAAGACAAATACAAGATCAGCTTATTAAAAATGTTACAAAGGATGCATAACTGAAATGTTACATCCTAATTTATTTGTTGTGCCATCGTTGGTGAGAGAGGCTGTAACGCGTACTCATCTGCGCGCTATGTTTTGTTCAATTTCTAAGAAATGTAATTTCTGTTCTTTACTCGGTGGCAAAACTACGGGGGAATTGGGCAACCTCCACCCCCCCTCATCGAATTTAATAATTTGAAAAGACTGAAATTAACTTCATAAACAACGAGGAAAATGAAATTACATGAAATTTTCTGTAAATAGCAATCTGGAGAAAAAGCTCGCATTATACGTCGAATTCCTCATATCAGGGGTGATTGTCAATGTCTTTTGGGGGTAATTGTCCTCGGGGGTAATTTTCCGGGGGGGTAATTTTCCGGGGGGTAATTTTCCGGGGGTAAATGTCTTTGGGGGTTAATTGTCCTCGGGGGGTAATTTTCTGGGGGGTAATTGCCCTTGGGGGTATTTTTCCGGGGGGTGATTGCCCAGGGGGTAATTGTCCTGATACGGAAAGTGAGACAATATAAGGAGATAGATTGCACGAAAACTCTTCTCAAAGATTACAATATTATGTTAATCAGTAATAAGGGGGACAACATGATAAGTATTAAACCAGTGGCGGATTCAGGGGGAATGGGGGCACGTGCTCCCCCCCCCCCCTAAAAAGGGGGGAAGGGGGAAGGGGAAAAAGAAAAAGTGAGAAGAGGAGAGAAAAGGGGAAAGGAAAAGGGGAAGAGAGAGAGAGAGAGAGGAGAGAAAAGGCGGTAAAGAAAGAAAGGGGATGGTATTATAAGAAGGTGTTTTTTTACCGGGAAAAGGGCGGGGGCACACAAGTTTGCAGTGTGCATAATAATGGGGTCCCTCTTTTCAGGCGTGTAGCCCCTCCCCCCCCCCCCAAAAAAAAACACCAAAAAAAAAAAATGGAAAAGGGGGAAGAGAGAATTGTTGTGAGTTAAAGGAGAAAGGAAAACAAAAGAGAATTAAACAACGACAGAAGAGAGGTGCGAGAGCATGAGGAATTGCAATTCTTTTAAAAGAACAATGGGATAACAGCCAGGGTCGTCGCTAAAAGGGGTGTGGAGGTGAGACAACCCCCCCCCCCACCTGTCAGGATATTTTCGGTAAAATTGCGCTGCTGTCGGAAAAATGAGAGGGAAAGGGAAAGAAAAGAAAAAAAGAAAAGGGCAAGAAAGGAAAGAAAGGAAAGAAAGGAAAGAAAGGGGAAAAAAGAGAAGAAAGAAAGAGAAAAAGAAAAAAGAGGAAGGAGAGAAAAGAAAGGAAAAGAAAGAAAAGAAAGAAAACAAGAAAACAAGAGAAAAAGGAAACAAAAGAAACGGGGGATAAAACAGAGGAGAGAGAGAGAGAGAGAGAGGGGGGGGGTAATAGCCCCCGGTAAGAGCCTGAGAGAAAGGGGTGGGAGTAAGAGAGCGAGGGGATGTTGGGTGCAGTCACCACGTCGAGGGGGCAAGACTAGATACGCATAGATAATTATGTTGCTCTGCCGGGTCCGCTCTGTCGGTATTCTTGCTCAATCCTCGTGTACTATATCAATGCAGAAGTTTGAAGATGGTGAGATGCATATAAATTATGTCGGTCGGCTGGCATTTTTTCCCCTACGAATTAATCGGAAAAAGAAACATTTTTGAAAATTCGGAAAATGATTAAGAGTCGGTACAATGATTTTTCTTCTTTCTCTATTTATTGAAACGTCCAAGCGGGAGGCGTCTTATTTTTTCGTACCACGGCGAGCCCGGATTCCTGTTATTTCATGAATATTCATTACGCAGGGTCGGAGAAAGTCTCGATTCTCTTGAATATTCATGTCTGTTCGGGAGGGGGGAAATGAATTCACACAAGGATTAAGAGACGAGAACGGTACAACGAATCGTTTTCTTTCTCTCTAATAATTTAATGAAACGTGAAAGCTTCCGCGCTTCGCGCTGGAGGGGGGAGGGGGAAACTGAATTCAGACTAGGATTGAGAGTCGAGAACGGTACAACGAGTCGCCTTCTTTCTCTAATAATTTAATGAAAAGTCAAAGCTTCCGCGCTTCGCGCGGGATAGGCAGAAATGAATAGACCATTTTACGGTAAGCACATTTCTGCAATGACCCCGAATATCCACAGATCTTCAAAACATGAAGAGGTCCCACTTTGTACATTTTTAAATAATCACTCCTACAGCGATGGAGGTGCTATATAAATAGCCTTTGTTTCCCCCTTTTCAAAGAATACTTCCACCTGTGTATCATGGGGTGCACTGATCGTGCATGAATGAATAATGATTACATAACTTTCATGAGCACGTATCCAGTATTTCGTCTCCGTGTATTTCAAAATTGTTCTGCAATGACATTTATCTGCTCATGCTCAGACTGCAACCGTGAACTGGCTTATTCAGACAAGGATTAAGAGAAGTAATTACATGAAATAACAAAGCTTCCGCACTTCGCGTGGGAGGGGGGAAACTGAATTCAGACAAGGACACGATACATTGAATCGTTTTCTTTCTCTAATAACTTAATGAAACGTGAAGGCAAAAATGAATTCAGACAAGGATTAAGAGTAATAATTTAATGAAACTTCAAAGCTTCCGAGCTTCGCGTGGGAGGGGGGGGGAACTTAATTAAGACAAGGATTAAGAGTCGAAAATAGTACAACGAATCGTCTTTTTTCTCCAATGATTTAATGAAACTTCAAAGCTTCCGAGCTTCGCGTGGGAGGGGGGAAACTTAATTAAGACAAGGATTAAGAGTCGAGAATGGTTCAACAAATCGTCATCTTTCTCTAATAATTAATTGAAACGTCATGGCTTCTGCGCTTCGCGCGGGAGGGGCGAAACAAGAATTAAAAGTCGGGACTGGTTCAACGAATCGTCTTCTTTCTCGTATAATTTAATTAAGTGTCAAAGCTTACGTGCTTCGCGCGGGAGGGGGAAAATAACTTAGTTCCTGGCTCCTGGGTTTATAGGGTTATACACAAGCAATTAAATATTCTATTAAGTTCAGAATTTAACACGGACGCTATAGTTGGGACGTTTTTGTGTGAGAAATAAATTACTCTGTCATCAGCATATAAGTGAACAGAGCATTTCTTTATATGTTTTACAATATCATCAATATAAATTATAAACATAAGTGGGCCCAATATAGATCCTGGGGGGGGGGGGGCACCTGCCCATGCTCACATTTTCTAAAACATCACAGAGTGTAGAGGTACTTATAAATTTCACTCAGTGACTCAGCACTCCAAATCCTCTGAACTTTCGCAACTACTAAATGTCCAATCACTTTTGTTCAGTTAATATACCGAGATACTGGCCAACATTAGGGGAAAAAATATCTACAAAAAGCATCTTTTGGGCTCAAAATGTATACACGTATTTTACACACTACATAACTCAGTGAAATTGAAATAAATTTGAAGATATATTAATTCTCCATCTTTTGACACCAAATCCATGGTGATTAGAGGTTTTTACTTATAAGTTATCTTTATTACTTATAAGTTATCTTTAAAGCTCCATGTTAACACACCAAACAGGTCCCCAGTACACTTATATGCGTATATGCATGCAGTTAATACACATGGGGGCAAAAATGTTGTTTTTGTGGAAATCAAATCAATAACTTTGGGTTGCTATAAATTTTTATTGAAAAGAGATTAAAAAAACCTCTCCTTGACACAGAATATTTTCCTTGTACATGGGCAAATTCCTAACAAGTTACAAAAAATGCACCTCTCCAATTTCGATATATGGAAAATAATGGTTTTCGGTAAAATTCATTACTTCGAAATAAATCACACAACAAATCCTGTTTTTTACTTAAATTTGCAAATATTATGCTTTTATATAGCGCGTAATATAATGTCTCTAAGCGCTTAACAAATATACTATTACCCCGGTCATTGGATTCAGTGCTTGCCCGCACACACTGTGTGCACAATCTCCACTCCCTGGGGAGCATTCTAGCCAGGCGTTGTTTGACGCTCAAAAACTGTTTGACCAACAATGACAGTCGCATCCTACCAGGGACCGATATAACACCTGGGTGGAGAGTAGCAAGTGCAGGTTGATATCTTGCCAAAGGATATTAGTGCCGTGTCGGGATTCGAACCCTCAACCTTCGTATCTACAGTCAAGCGCCATAAACCACTCGACCACGACACTTCCAGAATCCCAATTAATCCCCTAGTTTGGTATCAAAATCATATGAAATTTCATATGACACCAAACTTATGGTGGTTCAAGGTTCCCTCAAAATATTATTTACAAAATACTCTTTTTCGTCCAAAGGGCCTCTTTTTTGGACGCCCCCTACGATTTTATAGGGGTGTTTGCAACAAATAAAAAAAATACCTCTCAGTGAAATATTGTGTATTATGATAAAATCTTTCAAATAAACAAGGTGTGCTTAGTTTATGCGGTAGTGACAGGCAACTCAAAAACTAAGCATGAAAATTGACTTTGGCCCTCCGCTTATAGGGGGTAGTTGACTGGGGGTGGTTATCCGGGGGGGGGGGGCGGTGAATGTCCAGGGGGTAGGTGTCCGGGTACGCTAGGGATCATACAGGGACGGGTCCTAACGATACCAAAGATTTTGTCTCAGGTGGTGTGTGCCTTTTCAGTTTCTGCCACATGGACTTATACTGCTAAGGAATCGCCATAAGGTACCTGTATACAGTGCATTTCCACTCCAAATGCGCATCCCGTAAATCGACATCAATTCATTTTGAAAAACATAATGACTTATCTATCAAATTATCTGATCATTTATTTTCTGTGTGTGACATGACTACATGTGTTATATGTTTAATTAAGAAAAAGAGTTTCAATGGACAGATTTATGGTGTGTCAAAAACTTTGAAATATAATTAGTTTTTATGACCCAATATTCTGGCTCATTGCCCATTACGTGTGTGTGTAATATCTAACATTCAAATATATATTAAACAGGTTTATTAGATCAAACCCATAATGAAAACTATATCAGTTGAGATTTTTCTATCGGAAAATTCATATTCGATCAAAAAATTAAAAATCTAGATTTTTTTTCATTTGTCAAATTTTGAGCCCAAAATGACATTTATAGTAAAAAATACTCGTGTATCCACCCTTATCTTATTCCTTAGCGTTTTTGCAAGATTTTTTAGCAAAGATGCATTTCCCCTAAATACCATGCATTACCCCCAAAATAGTCTTTTTTTAGAGCCTTGTTTTGGTAGTTTTTGGCTTGTCTACTATACGACGATACCAAAGCGTATGCATAATTATATATTTACTCTCTTTTGTGTGTTGTTATTTTGATAAGTTAATATTAATGATTGGTATTGCAATTTGCAGTTACCTAACAGGGCCTCATGGAAAACCACCACTATTGGTGAAAATATATAAGCTACCCTGTATAAATATCAGAAATAAATAAATAAATGAATAAAGGTATACTTAGACAGAGAAGAAGAGAAGGACATCCCACGTCTTGTAATTATAGAACCTAATTGAAAGCAAATAGGGATAACGATATACTCTTCTCTTTCAATTTACAGACATCGCTCTTCCTGGTGACATTTGTAGGAGCCGTAACTATCATCGTCGGAATTTTATGTGGTTTGCAGACACGCCCAGGCCACAGACGAGCCGAGTTTTCGCTGTCGGTAGATGATAATACAGAGGATGATTCGTCATCCCAATCACATTTTGCCAGAACAGGATGTGTAAAAAAGGTACATATATGGGGCAGCGAGAGAGAAATGAGTCATGTAGCAGAACTGGGGAAATACATGGACATTTTCCAAAAAAGTAATCTACCTTTAGATGCTACGGGCATCGATTGTGTTTCTGAGGGGTACGCCTGTGACATCGTCCTCACCATGGGTGGTAATGTGGACTACCTTGAGGGAAAAGACGCGGTTGTCTTTGGATTGGTTCCCACGGAGTTCCGCCGGGAAGGGAGTGAACAATTCAAGAAGTTGTTGGGATTGCGACCGGCTCCAGGTCAGACGTGGATATATTACAGCACAGAGCCGCCGCTACGTGTACTCAGGTGGACCAGAGACCTCGACCTTATGCGCCTCAAGTATCATGTCCTTATATATGACCTATGATTTGGATTCAGAAATAGTCGTTCCTTTTGGTTACTACCGGCCCTTTGAGACAACAGGTGTTAATGCGAGCTCCAACCGGGCTTTGGAGACAGCCCATCTCCAAGATCCACTCTCGGGAAAGGAAGGCATGATAGCGTGGATGGCCAGCAACTGCAAAGCGTTCTGGCCACGTACGGAATTCATCAGTCAAATGAGGGATGTGCTCCCACTCGATGACTATGGTAGATGTGGTCGGAAAGAGTGCCTCCCAAAACGATCCGATGAATGCAACAAACTTATGGCAAGCTATAAATTCTACTTCGCCATTCCCAATTCTGAGTGTAAAGACTACATCACGGAAAAGTTCTGGCTCCAGTCGCTGTCCTACGGCACGGTGCCGGTCGTACTTGGCTCGCGGAAGGAATCTTACCAGGCGGTGGCACCTCCGAACTCCTACATTCATTTCAGCGACTTCATATCCATCGATGAATTAGTGGACTACCTAAATCGCCTCGACAAAGACGACGAGGCCTATCGCAGGTTCTACGACTGGCGAAGTCAAGGAGAAGTGGTGCTCACCTACCCGACACGCCCTACAATCTTCTGTAAAGCCCTACCCCATCTCCATGAGAAACGAGATGTGAAGCCGTACAAGTATCTTGGCGATTCACCCTGGTTCAAAGGTTGTAGGATGACTCCAGACAGAAGAGTGTTTGATCTGAGCAAACAAGAACAGGAGACTTTGTCTAAATTTGAAAATTGGTCGGTATGGCGATGATCGAAAATTGAATGTTATAAAAGATGCGCAAGACTCGAAAGAAAAAAGACAGCGAGTAGCGGGGCGACATCCATATGCGTTCCCGACATATCAGAAAAATCGTGGAGGGAGGGGGCATGTATGCCCCCCGGCCTTATTAGGGTTAAAATAAAGAGAGAGAGAGAGAGAGAGAGAGACTTTCTTTTTAACTCTCACTTTCACCTATGCCAGATAACCCTAAGTTTTTGTTGCTGCTTTCTATGTAGTTGATGATACATGATTAAAATAAATAGAGAGAGAGAGAACCACCATTATATTAATGAAATGGTTCAGGGTTTGTGTAATGTACAATTGAAACCATTTCTTAGCGTCTCAACGCTAAAAAAAAAATAGCGAAACTATATTTTAGGAAAAGCATTAAACAGAACTGTATAAAGAATAATAACTTTATAATTGGCTCATACTAATACTGATACGGATTAAAGACAATGTGGTATCGGCACAATAAGATCGGGTATTTTTATAGAGGTATTCCAAAATGACATTCTGATAATCAACATTTTGTTCTGTATTCATATGTCGTCTTCTTCTTTACGTGCCATGTCCTGAGACGTTGGCGAACATGGAATGCCACAAGTCTCTTTCCCATATTCTACAAATCTCAGCCATGCAATTCTGCCACTGTGCTGTAAGATCACTTTCAGATTAGGAGAAGTGTATTCTTTAATGAGTATTTTTAATTGAATTGAACGTCTCAACTCAGTAAGCATGTCTGTAAAAGTTGTTTTTACAAAGAAGATACTGGTGAATAGCAGTGCTTATTCAAATAAATATTTCCATCAATTTGGAACACAATCATTATTTGTCACTTAATCCCTTTTAATGACCTTGTTTTCTTTCTCGTTTGCAAGGGGAGAAGAAGCTATGTCACGTTTAACCAAGGAGATCAGTGTTTTATGCGTATATATTTACAGGCCCCGCGGAACGTTTATCAAAGTGTGGGGTTAAAGTATTTACGATCAGGTAGAGGGTAGAGGGCGAAGCGAGCGGAGCGTAAATTGGTGTGGGGGTTCAGGCGGAGCCCCTGCCCAGCAAACACAGAACGTTTTCAGAACGTTTTCAAAACGTTTTTTTTAGGTCCTGTACGTCTTCGTCCTAAATGAACGTTTTAAAAACGTTTATATAACGTTAAAGTTTGGACTTCTCATTTACGTCAAAGTTTAGGTTTTTGAGAACGTTTAAAAAACGTTTTTTGGACGTTACAAAATTAAACGTTTGGTATAGGACGTTTACAGAACGTTTGATATAGGACGTTTACAGAACGTTTGATATAGGACGTTTACAAAACGTTTGTGGACGTTACAAAATAAACGTTTTGTCTTCGTCCATATTAAACGTTTAAAAAACGTGTATATAACGTCTAAGTTGGGACCTTACATTCGCTGCGGAGCTAGGTCTTTTGAAGACGTTCAGAAAACGTTTTTTGGACGTTACAAATTAAACGTTCTTGGATAGGTCCTGTAAAACGTTTACAGAACGTTTTATTTAGACGTATTTTGTTGAATTTATTTTTTATGTCCAAATAAATATTTCTTAAAAAATACCAGCTGGCGAAATAAGGCCACATGCATACGCATGGGGGGGGGGGGGTCGAGGTATGTCAAACTGATGCACTCCTGTGGCGTAGCGATGGAGGGAGGCACGTGCCCCCAATAATTTTGAGGAAAAAATAGAAAACATAAGGTGACATTATTTGAAGAAAAAAGAAATACATAAGGAGTGACCCCTCCCCCTCACATAATGTTTGTGCCCCTTCCCCCCCCCCCCCCCCCCCCCCCCCCAGCCCAATTAGTCCGACCGCGCTACGTCATTTATATGCTCCATTCAACCACGTGTATACAAAGTGCGTACGCACCGTATATAGTCGTACCACTGTATCGTATATCCGGCGCGTCCGGTGCGGCGCGCTCGCTCCAGAGCTTGTTGCCGCGTGTTTTAAACTGACTGACGAGTTGACTGCTTGATGACGTGACTTCGAGATTTCAAATAATCTGTTAGACTGCGACACCGAGGTAAGCGTTATTTTAACATTTTGATATCTGTAAGGAATTTAAGCTTTGTTTGATTGATTTTGAAGCATGTAAAATGAAATAAAATATTGATTATTTGCACTAAAACTAAAAGTACGGCAGACTCTATGTCGCATGTGCAGGCCGTTCAAATTTGCATTGCATTGACTGGTAACAGTGGTATGGTAATTGGGTAGGCTAGGGTATGTGCACACATAACACCAGGAAGCTCCGATGCCGAACGGCGTCGGAGCTTCTTGGAGTTAGTGCATACATAGCTGCATTACTATCCTGGCTGTGTGTATTAAAAGCTGTGCTATTGATATTTAACATTTCAAACACCACTGTACAAAACTCTTTCACTAAAAATCTGTACTTTAGTGACAATTGATGACACCTAAATAGCAGTAATAAAATACAATTTGTTCAACTTACCGATGTTATTTTGTTAGAAAGAACAATTAAGAAATTCAAATTGTTTGTCTACTGTCAAAATTTGCTTACAGCCGCATCGGCATGATAAGTGCATTTGTGTATTATGTGTGTATTGACTATTCCTTTTGAGCAAATGCTGCCTATTAACATGTAGTGCAATGCTAGAGGTCAATACGCATAATAGCATGGACTCTTTGCTGGAGTGGGTATGTGCGCATGGCTCGTTACATTACATGGTAATCGGATGATTAAAACAGTTGAGTTGTTAACTTTGCTGTCTGGAAAAATCATGGAAAGTTCCCATCGGGATTTAAAATGCTATTTCGTGAAGAAAATAAGTCCTTCGACTACCAGCTCATTTCTTGACTTATTTACTCTTCCCTCAATAGCATTTAAAATCCCACGGGAGTGGAACATTCCATGCTTTTCCCTCCACCACCATTTAGCAACTTTATATTATCCCACACCCTATTACAACAGGTTTGTTTTTTAGGCAATTGAAATAACTCCCAAACCACCTTTTTTGTATGGATATTGTTTTTTTAGAAATATCGAGACCTAGATCTATATCTTGTTCTCAATTTCGTCTCTTTAAAAAAAATCTGTTTAGTTCAGATGACACATTATTTAAAGAAATTGATTTCCAATAACGTAGATTAACTTAAGGATTGATTTGTTTTATTTTTACATACAGGCAACTATGTGAAAGCGCAAAAACATCGCCAGGAAGGCAGAGGACACGTCAAACCTGGTATCGGAAGATGATGCCGTGTAGAAGCGAAAGAGACATCTTCCCCAGAGATTAAGCAAATCTTCCCCAGAGATTAAGCAAATCTTCTAGTGATTCCGGAAGTGACGCTGGTAAGTATTTGTCTCTTGATGGTTAGTAGTGCTTGGCTCGGCCAGAGACGTATAATTTACATCTTATTTCTCGTTTTCTTCAAAATCCAACAGATGATGAAAACCTAAGATAATTTATTTGGGATAGCTTAAGCTAGACATGCTTTGTGTCCCAGCCATGCAAAATGATGATTAATAGATGTGGCACCATTCCGGCAAAACTGGAAATTAATTTGTAATCTAGGCATAAATTTCGGACAAGAAGTTTACATTACCCAAAAGTTTGTTCAGTTTATGAGAATTCTTGTCATGTCTTGATATCCCTTTTAACATCTGCAATGTGTCTCTGTTTTTCAGATCTTGAATCAAGAAAACAACATGTACGCGGAGGAACGACTAAGGCTGTGGCAGCAGAGATACCAATGCCGAAACTGAATGCGAAGTCCAAGTCCACATCGCATTTTTCAGTTCCAACCCACAACTCCAGCAAGGGCTCGGGCTTCGGAAAGTAAGTTTTTTTCAGATAGCATTTCACAAACGAAAGTTTCTGAGGTTTTTTTTATCATCAGAACATATACTGTAGAGCGTATAAACTAACAAAACAACATTTGCCATTTGTACTAAGTTGCTACACTAAAATACTGTTGGATTGGATGAGAGAGGCAGATTATCTCGGCTTACATGTAATTTATTTCATCAACAAGGCATGGGTATAGTTTTCTTACAGAAGAGTCGCTTTTAAATCCTTACAGTATCCTTTGTTGGAAGCGCTGCAAAGGTGTCGTCTTTGAAGCTGGGTGATATATTCCTGAAGTGACTAAATTGGACAGCTATCAAACATATCTCGCCAAAATATCCTATTAATTTGCTGTCAAACTTTTTAATGACTTGAACTGTTATTATAATGTATTTTATGTGTCTGTTTTTTTCTTCTCAGGCAATTTTCAAGTGCAGGTACTGTGTAGTGTGTACGCTGCAGAGGCTGGAGGAAGGGCAGCAGCAGCTGACGCAGTTGGTACAAAAACTGTTTTTGTCCAAATCGGGAGCGGCCGTTGATGTGGAAGACCTGAGGGAGCCGTTTACCGAACCAGTGAACACCACATTTTCATTCAAGGTAGATTAAGATACCTTCATTCAGGGGCAATGCAAAAAATCCTAAAACTCATACTTAAACCAAATTTTGACCATTTCAGCTAATAATGGAGAAACTTTATCAGCGACATAACAGGTTTGTTGGTGCATCTTTTTGGATTGAATTGCCAACATCTTGTTGAGAATGCAAGACAAAGTTGTATAGGTCTGTAAATGTACACCTTTTTGTAAGGATGCTGAAACCAATGTGTGTGCTGCCAAACTCTCTTATAACCTTGTCTTCTATATTCATAGACCCTTAAATTTGAGTATTCATATTTGCCTGTTAATAATTCATATCAACTCATTTCTATCAGTTTATTGCAAATAGCTTTTGTAGATTGTTCATGTGTTTTGTGTTGATTTTATATTTGAAGTAAGATGCAAGGCTTCTGGGAAATCTTGACCTGCCCACTAAATCTTTGGTCGATCAAAAGGACAATTTTTTACTCGGATTTAAAGGGGAAATCTACCCTAGAAATTTCACTGCTTCAATCAAAGGAGACAAATTTGAACAAAGTTAAAAATAAGAAATGGGCAAACTCGGTAAGGAAAACAAAGTAAGGAAACTACTCTTTTTTTTACATTTTCTAGTAAATTACTCTCGGCTATTCAAATTGACAATGCTGATGACATCTTGAGTAGCTCTAAATTCACTTTGTACACAAAATTTTACATTTTCTAACCCCCATAGTCAAAGCATGTTGTGTAGAAAGCTATTCGTCATTAGTAATCTGAACATACTCTGATTAAAAGCTGTGGAAATGTGTAACTTTAAGGAAAATTTAGAAAATATGAAATTTTGAGTACAAAGTTGATGGATAGCTACTCACAGTTGGTGTCATCAGTGTTGCCAATTTGTAGAGCTGAAACGAGTGTAGTTTCCTTGTTTTTTTGGGACGTACTTTCACTTGAAATGTGACTTCTTAAAATAGTCACATTTTTATCACTTGTAGAAGTTGATGAGAAAGTAAATACATGTACTCTTTTGAATAGTTATATTTTGCACCGGATGATGAAGCTAATCCTGGGTGGAGGCACATAGCTAAATCGGTTATTCACATGTATTTAATGATAATTTGTGACATTTTGTTAAAAGGTTCTGGTGAATTTATTCACATTGAATTTGATATAGTACACAACAAATTTACAGTAATCCACTATTTGGTTTTACCAAAGATCAAGACTTATTATAGAAAGATTTCTTAATCATTTGCTGGGGCATCTTTTTGGCATGAATTGCCAGGTTCTGTAAATAACTCAAATTGCTTTTATAAAGTGTGTTACCAAAGTTGCTATCTATTGTGTGCTGCAAAATTATTGACACTATTCATTTTATCTTTGCCTTGTATATTCATAGAGACATAGACCCGTGAATTATATGAGTATTCATATTTGCCAGTTAATCAGGCATATCTTCAACTCATCTATCATTTTCTTATGTTTTATTTGTAGATTGTTCATGTGTTATGTATCTATAGTTTTAAAGGGATAGTTTAGTATTGGTCAAACTTAACTTTAAAACCAAAACCTGCACCATCACGGTGCAAAGTAATAATTACAAACGGCCAAGTAAAGCCCCTGTTAGTATTCAAAATGACCTGTTAATTTTAGTTTCTGCATTTAATGTTTGTGTAAATAATAATTAAATATCTATATCAATTGCTTTTTAAAGAACTATTCAGATTTGTTTTCTTCAAAGTAGTCTTCAAGCATTTTTAATATTTTGAATAAAAATATATTTATGGATATTTCAGCCGTTTGTGAACCGATATTGATCAAATAACAATTTATTCTGAATATTAGAATTGTATGTTCTTTCGGGGGCACTTCGGGAAATACCAATACTCTTTTTCAAATATACATGATGTACTGTATTGCCAAGCCTTTGTACATATTTTGTAAATATGTTTGATAATAAATTCATAAAATCAATCAAATACATGTGTGACCTAGCGTTTATTAAAAATTCACTGTATATTGGACGTTCTTAAAAGGTTTTTTGAACGTTCCTAAAACGTTTCCAGGACGTTCTAGACGTTCTTAAAAGGCTTACTGAACGTTGTAAAAACGTTTCCAGGACGTTCTAGACGTTCTTAAAAGGCTTACTGAACGTTCTCAAAACGTTTCCAGGACGTTCTGGACGTTCTTAAAAGGTTTTCTAAACGTTTTCAAAACGTTTCCAGTACATTTGGACGTTTAGAAAACGTTTTATAAACGTTCCAGACGTGTTTTAAAAGGTTTTCTAGACGTTCTTAAAACGTTTGTAGTGCATTTTAACGTTATAAAAACGTTTTAAGAACGTTCCAAACGTTTTTTAAAAGTTTTCTGCACGTTCTAACAACGTCCACAATATATTTAGAACGTTTTCAAAAGGTTTTTGGACTTTTCGAATGTCTGAAAGGTTTTTAAAGGTTTTTTTTTGGTTCTTTTAACGTTTAAAAAACGTTTTTAAAACGTCCAATAAAACGTTTTAAATACGTCGAAAACCTACCACATTTTGACGTCCAAAAAACGTTTTCACAAAACGTCCAAAAAAACAACTTGGAACGTTTTTAGAACGTTCAGAAAACGTCCAATTGTTAGTTGGGTGGAAGCTCAGGGGTTTTAGGCATTTAATTACAGTCAGAGAAGCACAAATATTTTGATGCCGCATTCGTGTCACTGGCAGATCACAATATTTTTGTTGAATGACGTAAATCATGGTCTGAAGCAATATTGAATTCAAATGAGATACTTGCTAAAGATTAAACAATTTAATGTTGAACATTTTATAGGTGAAAACAAAATTTCTGTTTGAAATATAATGCAAGCGAGTACCGTAACATGTCTTCCTCCCACATAATTTATGGCAGATTTGTTTTGTAGAGCAATATATACATTTACACTGTATAAGCAACTGTCGCTGAAAGTTGCGTTATTGCGTCCTGGGCCCCGTCTTACAAAGAGTTGCGATTGATCCGAATCGATCGTAAGTCCTCCAATCAATCGCAAGTTTGCAGTCTCCTATCTCTTTTGTACATACTTGCGATTGATATCAATTGCAAATAAGTTGCGATTGATATCAACTCTTTGTAAGACGGGGCCCAGGACTCACCAAATAACCAAATCTCACGCACGAATTTTGTAAAAGCAGTGAGTAATTGCGTCCCGTAGGACGTAACAAAAATTCCAAGGTTGGTATCCGGAAGTTGGAGAAGAATCATTTTCGCATCGTATACTGGTTATAATTTCAATGATTTACACATCTATCCAATTTGTCCATAATAAAGTAACGACCCATCTGTGACCAGGGGCGGATCCAGCCGGCAGCAAGGGGGGGGGGGGGGATCAATCTTGAGCAAATATTTAGCGGCGAATGAGCGGGGGGGGGGGAGATTTTTTTTTGGTGTGGGGGGGGGGGGGAAGAGGACATTTTTTTTAAAAATTTTTTTAGTCCCGAAATTTGAAAATTTGACCGATCGTCATTCTGTTTCGTTGGGGGGGGGGGGGGGGGGGGGGGGGGTTAGGTCATATTTCTGTTTTCAATCAAAAAAGAAATCAAAACTCATAAGGGAGGGGGGTTCTTAATAAACATACACATAAACAAAAACTGAAGGGGGTTTAACCCCCCCCCTGCGTACGCGCCTGTCATGGAAAATGCTCTCGCATCAGTCATAACATTAAAATGGGAGAATAATTACACCCGTCATGATTTTGGAAAGATGGACTGTGTTAACTGTGGAATCGGGAATTTTCTTTTCATTTAATTTAATTTATAAAGAGATCGAAAGAAATACGAGTTCCTTTGAAAAATATTTCATGCGTAATTCATCGAAGGATGTTTATTTTCACTGGTCAATATTTTGTTTGTCATGGTTTTGGCCTTTGCCCCCTCAAAAATCATCTCTATTAACGGGCTATATGCCCCTCCCCCCCCCCATATGAAAAGAAAATAAGGAAATAAGAATAACAAACGAAGAAAAGTTGTTAAAGAAAAACGTACCATAAATCCGCAAAAATAGGATAATAAAAATATCACCAAAAGAGCAGAAGCATGGGACTAATGCGAGCATATTCCATTGATGTTCTGATGTTTATGAATCGAATTAATCAATATATATCCATCGTCCGACCAGTGATCGAGTGTACTTCTGTTCAGTCGAAAAGGATGTTTGTGAGAAAAAGGGTGTGGGCGGGTGCGAGCATATTCCATTGTTTTTCTGATGTTTATGAATCGAATTAATCAATATATATCCATCGTCCGACCAGTGATCGAGTGTACTTCTGTTCAGTCGAAAAGGATGTTTGTGAGAAAAAGGGTGTGGGCGGGTGCGTTTGTGGATAAAAGGAAAAGGAGTAGTGGTGAATGGGTAAAAGGAAAGAAAGTAAAAATATATTTTAATATTTTGATATATAAACTATACGCATGTTTGTCCTTATATTGCTTTGTTATAGACTCTTTCATTCAACAGTGGGGATTGATTTATGACGAATGAGATAACATTAAAAAAGGGGAATAAAGAAATTGTGTCTTAGTGTTTAACATCAATGGAGTGATTTAACTGAGTTTCATTAGTTGAAAATAGTGACCTCAATATTGGCCTAATTTAACCAGAATATTGTGGCATTTCGTTGACCCTTACATTTAGGAGCACATGCATTTATAATCTGACTATATACATCTTAAATCAATCTTTCTTTTAAAAATATGATCCTGGAAATTCCCTCTTTCATTCCAATTGAATTAGACTTTGGCCATTACTTGTATGTCATTAACTTTCAAAATACATGAACAGGAAATTGGCTGCCATGCATTGGTACAGAATTGAGGTATTGTCCTATTGGGTGTATGAGATAGAAAGGGATTGATGCGTGGACTTCTTGTATAGGGAACCCATTGAAGCGTCGCTAGCTTTGAAGATAGAGCTTGGGGCCTTGGGTTAAATACATTCGTCTATATGCATGTACGTACTCTAGCACTAGCACTGCACTGCAAACACCCAAAACAGCCACTCCCGATATTTGCCTCTTTGTGATCGGCCCTACCTCTTTCTTTCTCCTTCTTACTGTTTAATTGCTGTGGCCCAAAACCAATTAGTCTTGCTGGATTATAATAGAGTGTGACTACAGTGATATGCTTACTAGACCAAATACATTTATTGATGACACGTTGCATACAAGCACCAAAAGTATGATGACCATCTTGCGAAAATTTAAGGTGAGTATTAATACTAGAAAGTCATTTATTATTCGCTTTCCTCTGCCATTGTATATTGTACTGATTTATTTAATAAAAAAAAGTGTTGGACGAGAGTGGCAGCAAAGACCACAGCAAAAATTAGCTTAGGTCTCGCGATCCTTTTCTCCAATATCCGATGCTCATCATGTTCATGTATATCACCAAGCCCTTAAAGCCCCTCTTAAAGTGTAGTGGGAGCCCCCAACAATTGATGGCAACATTTCATTTAAAATGTATCATAATGTGAAAGAGGATGTCAATTAATTAAGACACATCCCAACCTTACTCCTACCTATTAAATCGACCCTTGCAGACTTAATTTCCAAAAGACCTAAAACTCGTTTAAAATATTCCAATCGCTAAAAATAAAAGATCAAATCAAAAAACAAACTCCATCCCTATTTCTCTATTATCATCTGTTTCTAAAATAATGGAAAAAGCTATTCACTCAAAAATAGTTATAAATGCTGATTTCTATATACGGCGAGTGCTACTTTGATGCATAAACTTAAAGGGCAAAATGTTGAAGAAAGAGTATTAGTACCAATGCTGTCTGAAAGTTGACACAATTTTAAACAATCTTGCTCCTTTGTATTGAAATACATTTGTATCCAGACGTCCAGCACAGTACCCTACAAGGTATGCCTTCAATAGCCCAGCATTTAAACCCAAACCCCGGACTGATTTAAAAAAACGCTCTTTTTTCTTAAAGCCCCAGTCCCATATAAAGCCGGACGAGCACGGACGAGCACGGACCACTCCGGACCATCCCGGACCATGGTCTGGGGTGATCCGGGATGGTCCGGGATGTTTTGTTCAAAAAAGTGTGATGCTTTAAAAGCTACAGTCCCATATACGTCCCGGACCGTCCCGGACCATCCCGGACCCCATCCAGGGTGATCCGGGATTCGGTCCGTGTTGACACCGTGTTGGCACCGGGGTGGTCCTGGATGGTCCTGGATGGTCCTGGATGGTCCTGGGCGGTCAATAACTCACTCCCGGACTGCCACGGATCAACACGGACCGCCCCGGCGCCACTACGGATGACCCCGGACCCAGCACGGTGGCTACACGGATCACCCCGGATCAAACTATTGTCCCGGACCGTCCCGGACCACCCCGGCAGTTTTTGACCGTCAAAAACATCCGGGGTCGACTCCCGGACCGCCCAGGACCATCCAGGACCATCCAGGACCATCCAGGACCATCCAGGACCACCCCGGTGCCAACACGGTCTCAACACGGACCGAATCCCGGATCACCCCGGATGGGGTCCGGGATGGTCCGGGACGGTGTTGACACAGTGTTGGCACCGGGGTGGTCCTGGATGGTCCTGGATGGTCCTGGATGGTCCTGGATGGTCCTGGGCGGTCCGGGAGTCGATCCCGGATGTTTTTGACGGTCAAAAACTGCCGGGGTGGTCCGGGACAATAGTTGATCCGTGGTGATCCGTGTAGCCACCGTGCTGGGTCCGGGGTCATCCGTAGTGACGCCGGGGCGGTCCGTGTTGATCCATGGCAGTCCGGGAGTGAGTTATTGACCCCGGATCACCCCGGCGCCCCTACGGATGATCCCGGACCCAGCACGGTGGCGACACGGATCACCCTGGACCAGCACCGGGGCGTTCCGGGATGATCCGTGTTGGCACCGGGATGGTCCGGTGTCATCCGTGTTGGCACCGTGTTGGCACCGGAGTGGTCCGGGACGGTCCGTGGCGGCTCCGTGCTGGGTCTGGAATGATCTGTACTGCTGCGGGGGTATGCCCGGACGGTCCGGGCGGTCCGTAGTGGTACCGTGTTGGGTCCGGGGAGACGGTCGGCGGTTGCGATTTTTTGAACAAAACATCCCGGACCATCCGGATCACCCCAGACCATGGTCCGGGATGGTCCGGAGTGGTCCGTGCTCGTCCGTGCTGGTCCGGCTTTATATGGGACTGGGGCTTTACTTTGCATGTTTACAGTTCAATAAATTACCACTTCCTATTCAATTATCATCATCTTTGCAAGTTTTCAAAATTCAAACCCGACACTATCAGTCTCTTCTTTAAAATAAAAAAAGTATATATATAATGGATTTCACTACATTCAACGAGGGCTGACACATTGTGTTTGTTCATTTGCTTGTTTGGTTGTTATCTTTTACCCCGCTTTCACACAGGGGAAAAATTCTTTAATGCTGATTTCTTCAAAGAGCTTTAATCTCACCAGCTTTACATACGATGACTTTTACCCCTGTGTGAAAAGGTATACTACCTTTTCACACAGGGGTATATAGTCTCGTCAAACTATCCATTGTGTGCTTTATACACTGTCTTTCTTTTGTGCAATCCACTTTAATCTGCCATTTTCTATTTAGCCACACTTTTCTTTAAACTCTTCAGTTTGACTTGAAATTTTGAAATCTTTTAGTGTGTTTTAAATTTGTTTGATTTTTATCATATCAGTGCAAGTATATAAATTTATGTGAACTTGTATTGTTTAAATGATAAATATAGTTATTAGCCCTTGCTTTATTTGGCTCATTTAAACCAAGCTTGAATTTACCAGTGGCGGATCCAGGGGGGGGGGGGGGGCTCAGGAAGCACCCCCCAGCCAATTTTTTTTAAAAAATCAGCCTTAAATTCGCCCAAAATGCACTAAAAAACAGGGTCGTGCCCCCCCGGCCATTTTTTGTTTGTTAAATAATAATTAAAAAAAAAATGCCAATGGCTGACCTAAAAAGGTGACCTCCCCCCCCAAACGGAGCAAAATGTCAAATTTAAAAATGTTGTGACTGGTGACACCCCAAAAAGTGTCCTCTTACCCCCTTTTTTTGGGGGGGGGGTGGGGGTACTTGCGATCATCTTTTACATGCCTCGTTTAAATCTATTTGAAATCAAGTAAAAATGTGGGTACGTGTGTGGGTGGGGTTTGAATAATTATTTGGGGGGTCGGTTTGAGCCTCAAAGCACTTCCCCCTCCCTCAAAACGGTTGCTGGCCTTGGTCACGACACATTGTACTAAAAAATATCATTTTTGATTGGTTTTGAAGAGGCTCACATACATTTCGGAATACCACTTTTTGGAAAAACGAACATCATGTATACAGTTAACTTAATTATTCATACCCCTTATAATTTTTTTTCTTAACTCGAGAATGAAAGATTGACAGTGGACTGCGCCTTAGATTAGGGCCTTTGTTGAATATTTTTAGATTTATTTAGTTTTGATATGTCACATTCTTAAGAAACATAAATCGGGACTAGTCGATTTTTCGCATACTTAACAAATGACAATACTTGGCTGTATAGCTGTACGTCCACTACAGAAACCTACATACTCCTTGGTCCGAAGCCAGAGCCTTGGGCAAACACGACTAAGACCCTATTCTATTTAGACTCTTTCGTGTGGAGAATAATTCCTTGTGTTCACAATGCTCAACAATAGGGACTTTTAGATTTGCACAAAGACAACGTGGATTGCTACGATCGGCGTCCTTTTAATGCACTGCCTTGAATGGACGTCACACGTATCACTTCACGCAAATCTAAAAGTCCCTAATGCGAACATTCAGGAGCGAGAAAATTTCACCAGTGGTGTAGCCAGGGGCGTCGCTATCTTTCAGTGGGGGGGGGGGGGGGGTGTAGAGGCCACCGATTACCGCCATACCTAGCCCAGAATTACCAACAAATATATATTTTGCCAATGTCCCAATGTCTACAAATTTAACCCTATAAACCTGGGGCCGGGAGCTTAATTATTGTTAGTCCCCCCCCCCCTCCCGTGCGGAGCGCGGAAGCTTTGATATTTCATTAAATTATTAGAGAAAGAAGACAAGACGATAGGTTGTACCGTTCCCGATTCAAAATTCTTGTTTCGCCCCTTCCGCGCGAAGCGCAGAAGCTATGACATTCATTTAATTGTTAGAGAAAGAAGACGATTCGTATACCGTTCTCGACTCTTAATCCTTGTCTGAATTAAGCCACCCCCCCTCCCGCCTAAAGCACGGAAGCATTGACGTTCAATAAATTATTGTAGAGAAAAAAAAGACGATTTGTTGTACCGTTCTTTACTCTTAATCCTTGTCTGAATTCAGTTTCCTCTCGCGCGAAGTGCGGAAGCTTGACGTTTCATTAAATTATTACTATTAATCCTTGACTAAATTCGATTGCAGTCACTTAAGTAATAGTCTGATTTTCAGACCCCTTTATTGAATAGTCGTGGCTCCTGCAAACTTGGCGCTAGGTCCGGCAACCGGAGTCGAGCTACCACTTTGACTAATTTTGTTCATTCGGTCTGTTTGTCAAAATCCTCCCAAGCTTATTCCTTTTCATGTACACTATTAAATTGAAATATATCGTGTCTCCAAACTATCACTCACGCTTTCTTGATGTAAAAAACAGTAAATAATTCTCCAGATCTGTGGAAAACGTGTCTCAATCTTGATTTCGACGAGTGCCCTCTGTTTTATGGGGTTTAGTATTCCGATATAATATGTTTAACATGTTACTGTAAAGAAGATTCATTTCATGCTTTTTTTAAAATGTGAAATGAACATTCCCTTCTTTGAAAAATCGATGGTTCGATAAAGCATGTCTATAATATAGATATTGATTTTAATATTGGTACTTTGTTAAAAACCAATTTGGAAAAAAATATTGATGATATTGTTACAAATGCATTTTGGAACTTATATAAAATGATACTTTTGAGAAACGAAAAGGGGAAAGATGAAAAGGAAAATAACTGTGGTATGTATTTTTGACATCAACGCAGCTCTCTTAAAAAAGGAAAAGGAAAAATGTTTAATTTACCTGAATTGATAGAAATGTATGTGTAAAATATTGCAGTTGTTATGTTAAACAAAAATGTATGTGAGTTTGATTATTTTGTTGTAATAAAAACACCTGTTAAGGGTGAAGAAGAACAAAAATCCTCCAGCACCAAATATCCAAAACCCGGGCCAGAAGCAAATAAGGGTAAACTTAAAGTACCAGAGCGAAGTTTTAAAAATGCTTGAAACCTTAATAATGTTGGCCTCATTGCAAAGAGAATGTTACAATCTTCCTAATAATTTATATTTACTTTTCAAAAATAGTTACAGAATCTACTAATCAAGAGTGATGAAATTGCTGCCTGTTTTTTTTCCGCGCTTGATCAGCCCGCTGCAGCCCGCTGTTTGCTCAGTAGTTGCTGACTGGATCAAGGCAAATCAATTGTTATTGAATTTACAAAAGAACAATGCTCTTTAGTTATTATTATTGATACATCACCAGTAAATATTGTACTTGATAATACTATCCTCCAAAAAGTCTCTTCTGCGAAGTTCCTGGGAATGATAGTACATGATAAACTTTCATGGAAGCTGCATGTTGGTAATTTTTGTAAAATAATATCTAGAAATATCGGTATTTTGAACGAGGTAAAATTGTATTTTCCATCTTGTATACTACTTAAGTTGTGCTCGACTTTAATACTTCTTACTTGTACTATGGAATCCTCGAGTGGGACGCGTGTGGAAATACTCGGCGCAATATAATTCTACTGCTACAAAAGAAAGCAATGCGAAGCATATGTCACACCTATTTCCGCGCTCATACTCAAGAACTCTTTCACGCACATAATGTTTTGCAGATACATGACTAATTTTCTTATGGCCTGTGATATATTTATGTGAAACACGCCAGAAAAAGTTTTATCTCAAATATGTTTAACAAAAATACTGGATTCCATAGTTATCCCACGAGATGAGCAAGCTCTTATCACCTACCAAAAACGAGTAGGATATTTCCAACAGAATCTTTACTTTCACTGGCCCAACATTTTGGGATGCCCTTCGCGGCATATTGAAAGAAAAACCCTCAAAATTTGAATTAAAAAATGCCCTCATTTGCAGACGAATCAGAATTACTAGTTCCACAGTCTTAAGTATTTGGCATTTTTTCACATCGAAATTGTGACTCGTGTATGATTTGTTTCCATATCATACTACTAAAACAAGATTACTCCATGGCCACCCTCTCTATCTCCCTCTATCTCCCTCTCTCTCTCTCTCTCTCTCTTGTCCCTCTCACTTTTTACCCCCCTCTCTCTCTGTGTCTAGCTTTCTCTCCTTCTACCTCTCTCTCTCTCTCTCTCTCCCTCTCTCTCTCTCTCTCTCTCTTGTCCCTCTCACTTTTTACCCCTCTCTCTCTCTCTGTCTAGCTTTCTCTCCTTCTCTCTCTCTCTCTCTCTCTCTCCCTGTCTTCTTCTTCTCTTACTCCCGTTTTACATCTTTCCCTGTTTGTCACTCTCTCACCTTGTTTCTTCATCAACCATCCTCATCTTGTCATCCTGCTACTGTTCAAAGATAACAATTTCTTTTTAATTTCGTTTCCATGGCAACGGCCTTATTTTTTTTTACTTAAAGTGACTCAAATTTTAGCTATGATCAGACGGACAGCTGAAGTTATTTTATGCTTAATATTTGTTTAATGTTCATGGTATTCCATAAATTATGTTCAATATTTTTTGATTTGTTTACACCATAACGGCCCAGCGCTCACGTCCATCACCTACTTTATGGCAACCAGACCGATAATCGTACCCGATGGTCCTAGAAAACAGAAGCATTCATTAAAATTATGCCAACTTGTATTTAACTTTTAAAAAAAACCTCATTTTCTGTTTTTTTATAAATGTTATGTTGTCTTGGGGGGGGGGGCACTTTTTCTTATATACATATAGACAAACTTAAAATGTGTTTTAATTTATATATTACACTGTTGGTCATAAAGGTGGAATAATTATTTTTAACCCAATTTATGGAATGATTTTGACAATGATTTGTTCCTAATAGATGTAAATAATAGTATACATTCTCAGATTGTATTGAATAATAATTTGCAAGTGTTTGTTTTGCATGCCTGCTAAAGCATTTGTGTGCTACTATGCTAATCAACTAGGGGACCTACGTCCTTAAGTAATAAGGATTAATGCCTCATAAAACGGCACTAATATAGCACATCGACACGGTTTTGATCATGGGGGCTCACAGTAACGAGGCCATTGCTTAGCCACTGAATCATGACTGTACGAAGCGGGGGCTAGGGTACGTCGCCGCCCCCACAAATACAAAAAAACAAAGAATGCAATAATTATCAATAATTCCTTGCATTTTCCCCGGTCCCCAACAGGAAAAATTCCTCTGTAGGGCCATGCATTATGGTTCAAGGCATGTCCCCATAGAGGATTTGTTTATGTTAGGGGGCGGGGCAAAATGCAATGATATTTTCGCCAGATTTTTAGCAAAGATGCCATGCATTACCCCTAAATACCATGAAGTCTTTTTAGATCCCTTTTTGGTAGTGTTTGGCTTGTCTACTATACGACGATACCAAAGCGTATGCATACTGATATACTTACTCTCTTTTGTGTTTTGTTATTGCAATTTGTTGTTACCTAACAGGGCCTCCTGGAAAACTACCACTATTTGGTGAAAATATATAAGCTACCCTGTATAAATATCGGAGAAAAAAAATAAAATAAAATGAATAAAGGTATACTTAGACAGAGAGGACAACACACGTCTTGTAATTATAGAAACTAATTGAAAGCAAATAGGGATAACGATATACTCTTCTCTTTCAATTTACAGACATCGCTCTTCCTGGTGACATTTGTAGGAGCCGTAACTATCATCGTCGGAATTTTATGTGGTTTGCAGACACGCCCAGTCCGCAAACGTGCCGAGTTTTCGCTGTCGGTAGATGATAAAACAGAGGATGATTTATCCTCCAGTCACTTTTTGCCAGAACAGGATGTGTCAAAAGGTACATATATGGGGCAGCGACAGAGAAATGCGTCACATACCAGAACTGCAGGAATACATGGACATTTTCAAAAAGAGCAATCTACCTCTAGGAGCTACGGACCTCGATTGTGTTTCTGAGGGGTACGACTGTGACATCGTCCTCACCATGGGTGGTAATGTGGACTACCTTGAGGGAAAAGACGCGGTTGTCTTTGGATTGGTTCCCACGGAGTTCCGCGGAGAAGGGACTGAACAATTCAAGAAGTTGTTGGGATTGCGACCGGCTCCAGGTCAGACGTGGATATATTACAGCACAGAGCCGCCGCTACGTGTACTCAGGTGGACCAGAGACCTCGACCTTATGCGCCTCAAGTATCATGTCCTTATGACCTATGATTTGGATTCAGAAATAGTCGTTCCTTTTGGTTACTACCGGCCCTTTGAGACAACAGGTGTTAATGCGAGCTCCAACCGGGCTTTGGAGACAGCCCATCTCCAAGATCCACTCTCGGGAAAGGAAGGCATGATAGCGTGGATGGCCAGCAACTGCAAAGCGTTCTGGCCACGTACGGAATTCATCAGTCAAATGAGGGATGTGCTCCCACTCGATGACTATGGTAGATGTGGTCGGAAAGAGTGCCTCCCAATACGATCCGATGAATGCAACAAACTTATGGCACGCTATAAATTCTACTTCGCCATTCCCAATTCTGAGTGTAAAGACTACATCACGGAAAAGTTCTGGCTCCAGTCGCTGTCCTACGGCACGGTGCCGGTCGTAGTTGGCTCGCGGAAGGAATCTTACCAGGCGGTGGCACCTCCGAACTCCTACATTCATTTCAGCGACTTCAAATCCATCGATGAATTAGTGGACTACCTAAATCGCCTCGACAAAGACGACGAGGCCTATCGCAGGTTCTACGACTGGCGAAGTCAAGGAGAAGTGGTGCTCACCTTCCCGACACGCCCTACAATCTTCTGTAAAGCCCTACCCATCTCCATGAGAAACGAGATGTGAAGCCGTACAAGTATCTTGGCGATTCACCCTGGTTCAAAGGTTGTAGGATGACTCCAGACAGAAGAGTGTTTGATCTGAGCAAACAAGAACAGGAGACTTTGTCTAAATTTGAAAATGGTCGGTATGGCGATGACTGAAAATTGAATGTTTGACTGTTAAGATGAAATGATTATATCATCGTTATTAGAATTATATCGTCACAAACTTACCCATTTCCATCGCGTCCTCTCAGACTCACGTATATAGCAGGAACGTCTCCAATGTAGTCAGTGTCGTCAGTACCCCCAGACAACTACCCCTAGGACAACTACCCCCGGATAACTTTCCATAGGACAACTACCCACCTATGATAGTTGCCTGGGGGTAGTTGTCCTAGAGGATGGTTGTCGTAGGGGGTAGTTTACGGGAGGTTAGTGGTCCGGGGATAGTTGTCCCAGGGGGTAGTCGTCCTAGAGGGTGGTTGCCCTAGGGGGTAGTCGTCCTAGAGGGTGGTTGCCCTAGGGAGTAGTTGTCCTAGGGGGTAGTTGACTGGGGGTTGTTATCCGCGGGGTGGATGTCCAGGGTGTAGGTGTCCTAGAACCGTCCGCACGCAATATGTTAACTTGTTTAAAAGAAAACGTTATTGTAACCCGTCACCGGGATAACTGTTTGAATTGTCTAGTCTTTGATAAAAAGATCTGTGCTCCATTATGTTTTACACTTCAAAACACATTTGACTAATAAGTTTCTAATTCTGTACACAGTTTCATAAGAAAAAAGGCATACATAACGTGCTAGTCATGGAATAATATTTATGACCAATAAATAGAAATATGAACAAATAAACTTCAAATCATGTTCTGTTTACTATTTACCAGATTTACGTCATGAAATAATAAATTTTTCTGACAGAGAAATGCATGTAATATTCAAACAATACATTATGTTCTGTTCTTATCTTCCCTTTCCCCTCTGTTCACATGCATGAGACGCAATTTTTTAAGGCGTATTTGTTCATGTAAAGTTGTTCTATTCCATTTCACTGCACCTTTTCAGCTTTTTGCACTTCGTCAAACAATTTCGTTTTCTTCTACCCCCCCCCCCCCCCCCCACCTCGTATTCTTGCCTCTTCCTTCTAGAATGATAAATGTGCTGTGGCCATCTATATTTTGTGCTTAGTTATTTTTATTTCGCGAGTAAAATATATACACATCCTCTATTCATTAATGAATTGGGATGTTCGGAATATCCTCGTCTGACGTAAATCCATGTTTATATGACCAAAAAGAACAGAGGAAAAGCAGCAACTGGTGGTCAAGTTGACCGTATACCGCAACGGGGCGATGGTGCCACGGCTCGGTGTAAAAATGTCAGAGGAAAAATGTCAGAGGTAAAAATGTCAGAGGTAAAAATGTCAGAGGTAAAAATGTCAGAGGTAAAAATGTCAGAGGAAAAAATGTCAGAGGTAAAAATGTCAGAGGAAAAAATGTCAGAGGTAAAAATGTCAGAGGTAAAAATGTCAGAGGTAAAAATGTCAGAGGTAAAAATGTCAGAGGTAAAAATGTCAGAGGTAAAAATGTCAGAGGTAAAAATGTCAGTGGTAAAAAATGTCAGAGGAAAAAACGTCAGAGGTATTAATGTTAGAGGTATAAAATAAAAACAAAATCATGTGGCAAGTTTGTTATGGTTACACCCGGGTTATATATTAGGCTTATCGAAAAAGAACAGCGAGGGATATTCTGCAGTTGTTATTTAACCGCTGCTTTATTTTCCACTTTCCCAGTTTAAATTTGTTTACCTTTCGGCCCCAAATTGTGACTTTTTGCCCGATTATTGCCGAAGGAAGACGGGGGGGGGGGGGGAGGGTATTCTTTTTCAGGGGCACGGTGACCCGGCTGCTCTCCCCCTTCCTCTTATATTATGCTTTGCTATATATCCTTCCGAACAGTGGTCAATGCCTAGGCAGAGCAGGCAGACTAATTTCTACTCCGAGTTTCGCACCTTGCAAGCAATCTTCAGGCAATTGAGAGCATTCTTAAAAGTACATGATTATCCTATAACCAGGGGCGTCTCCAAAGGAGGGGAGGGGGGGGGGGTGTGGGGTGCGACACCCCTCCACCTGTCAGGATAGTGTCGGTAAAATTGCGCTGCCGTCGGGAAAAAAAGAGAAAAGGGGGAGGGGAAAAAGAGAGGGAAAGGGAAAGAAAAGAAAAAAGAAAAGGAAAAGAAAGGAAAGAGAAGAGAAGAAAGAAAGAGAAAACTGGAAAATGAGAAAAGAATAGGGAATGGAAAAGGAAAAGAAAGAAAAGAAAGAAAAGGAGAAAAGGAAAAAAGAAAAAAGAAAAGAGAGAAAAAAGAAAGGAGAATGAAAGAGAGGAGAGAGAGATGTAGGTAAGGGCCTGAGGGAAGAGGGGTGGGAGTAAGAGAGAGAGAGGGGGATGCCGGGAGTCGCCACGTCGAGGGAGCAAGAAAGATACGCATGATAATTATGTTGCTGTGTCGGATCCGCAGTGTCGATAGTTTTTGCTCGATGAGACAGAGAAACATTTTTGAAAATTCAGACAATGATTAATAGTCGCTACAACGAATTGTCTTCTTTTTCTAATAATTAAATGAAACGTCAAAGCTTCCTCGCTTCGCGTGGTAGGGGGTAACTGAATTCAGACAAGGATTAAGAGTCGAAAACAGTACAACGAATTGTATTCTTTCTCTAATAATTTAAGGAAACGTCAAAGCTTCCTTGCTTCGCGCAGGAGGGGAAAATGAATTCAGACAAGGATTAAAAGGAATCATTTCTAATGAAACGCCCAAACTACCTTGCTTCGCGCGGGAGGGGGGGGGGGGGAAAACTAAATTCAGACATGGACACGGTACAACGAATCGCCTTCTACTCTAATAATTTTAATAAACATGAAAGCTTCTGCGCTTCGCGATGGGCGATAATGAATTCAGACAAGGGTTAAGAGTAATGATTAAGGGTAACGTAAAGGTTCCGCGCTTCGCGCGGGAGGGGAGAAAACTGAATGGATTTAGAGCATAGAGATCGGTACAACGAATCGTCTTCTTTCTCTGATAATTTAATGAAACTGAAATCAGACAAGGATTAAGAGTAAAGAACAGTACAGCGAATCGTCTTGTTTCTCTTATAATTTAATGAAAATGTCAAAGCTTCCGTGCGAAGCGCGGGAGTGGGAAACTGAATTCAGACCAGGATTTAGAGTAGAGAACGGTACAACGAATTGTCTTCTTTCTCAGATAATTTAATCAAACCGAAATCAGACAAGGATTAAGAGTCGAAAATAGTACAACCAATCGTCATCTTTCTCTAATGGTGTAATGAAACGTCAAAACTTCCGCGCTTCGCGCGGGAGGGGCGAAACATGAACTAAGAGTCGGAACGGTACAATGAATCGTCTTCTTTCTCTATTTAATGAAATGTCAAAGCTTCCGCGCTAGGGAAAAAGGCATAAATTAAAAAAAAGGCGGATGTTGATATCGGACAAACATACATGACACGAGCCTGCCCCCTCTCCAAATTTGTGCCCGCTTGTATGTTAAGTTGAAATATTGGTCTATGCGATTAAAAAAAATTCGGCCCCCCCTATTGGAAAATCCCGGATCCGCGTCTGAACAGTCTTTGCTAGGCGATGAACATGAAATTGGGTCTGATGACTGAATTTGTGGAATTTCTGTGCAATCTTAATAATTGAGTCCATGTTTTAATTATCTCATTCAATCTTAATATTCTATGTACTTACTTCCTAAAAGCCAAATAATTGTAGCGGTAATGAAATTTACGATTTGTTTTGGTCTTAGAAAAGTTTGTTCGCCTCCTTGCACTGTTCGCAGTTGCCAGTTATTGGGTCAAACTGGTTGTCATGGGTGTAAACAGGAAGGGACGCCTACGTATTTGTAAAAACATGTGGGGTCCATGACTCATTGATTTGACTTGATTTCGATTTATTTATTTCTGTTTGATTTCCTTTTTTCTTTTGCAGTTTTACAAACATATAACAAACAAATCATTGCAAATTTAACACACGACAAAAGAGCAGAGGCGGAACAGGGGGGGGGGGGGCGGGGGGCCTACAGTATAGTAAGGCTGGCTGTAACTAGTCGAAAACCTCAACCAGGAGGGTTGACAAAGTAAGCATAACTTGATAGCATGACTACCCTCAATGAATACATAATAACACAAATGTGGAGGAAACAATATTGGCAAAAGGGAAACAAGAAAGAGGGGGTGTACATTGGGTATCAACGGAATAGTTAATGGAGTAAACAACTTTCATTTTTTTGAGGGGGAGGGGGTAGCTTGTTGTTAAGGTTCATAATCAGGCGCGTAGCCACGGGGGGGGGGGGCACGTGCCCCCCCTAAATTTCCAGGATCGGTTGCTTTTTTAGACCCCTTTTTTTTTACCTCGATCGATTACATGTGCCCTCCCCCCCCCCCCCCAAAAAAAAAAAAACCTCAAACTCTGGCTACGCGCCTGTTCATCGTTACTATAGGACTGTTGTGCCCTAGTTCAGAATGTTTATGTGCGAGTTCGAAATGCATGCTCCGATTATCATTCAAATAATTGCCTCCAGGATTGTTATATTTCCGGCCCGTTTGCGTTCTTCGGATTTAATAAAGATGTCGAATGAAAGAGTTTAAGATCGAAAGAGCACAAGTGAGAGAGTTATGTAAGTTACGAGGCCGATGAGTATTGCGGGCCGGAAAGCTCAACTCTGGAGGTTAAGTTCGCAAAATTAATAAAGTTCCTTTCGACATGGGTGTGTATGGTGCCGGGGATTACATTTTGACGCAATGCGTCGTAGTGACACGCCCTTATAGGGTCACACGTGTCGGAGGGTTTACAATGGGGATGAGCTTCTGAATCGAGACGGTCTTTTTCTTTTTGGAGCGGGTTTTTAGTTTTCGGAGCGAGTCTTCACTTCTTGTTTTTTTTCTCATTCTTACTCCACTTCCTTTGCCGCCATGAGGTGCTAAAGCTTTAGCAGAGTTCGGGGCGCCCAGCCTATATATTGTCACTTTTCGTGATTCCTCGTGACTATATGTAATTATTTTTACTAAATGCACTACTCACTTTAACACCTGACTTTTGTCGAGAACTTTCATTTCTTCGTTTGGACTTTGTTCGTCTCTGGAACGTTACACGGGCTAGGTTGTAGGCTGCCACCGGCCAAACCGGTCCGTTTCACAAACATTAACACATCAACCAATTCAAAATATCAAAAAAATGTAGACATTCATAAATATATATATGCAAGCCTGATCACAAAAAAATAAATTTCAAAATCTATTTTCCACATTGTATTATCCTCAGGACATGTACGAAATACAACACACAGCCATTTATATAATTTACTTATGGAAGAAAGGAATATAATAGACTAGCTAGCCCATGCAGTAGCTGTACGTCTCGACATTCTGTGTGATAAAAGTGCTGAGATATTATGACGGCACTCATTTGTTGTGCTTGTACCTCTAATATTTTTACCTCTGACATTTTTACTCTCTGACATTTTAACCTCTGACATTTTTACCTCTGACATTTTTTCCTCTGACATTTTTACCTCTGACATTTTTACCTCTGACATTTTTACCTCTGACATTTTTACCTCTGACATTTTTACCTCTGACATTTTTACCTCTGACATTTTTACCTCTGACATTTTTACCTCTGACATTTTTACCTCTGACATTTTTACCTCCGACATTTTTACCTCTGACATTTTTTCCTCTGACATTTTTACCTGGCACCGGTGCCACAACATAATCCCCATCTCAAAATTTCGCTCGATATTAATGGGGGGGGGGGGGGGGGGCATTCAAAGGAGGGAGGGGGTAGGATGAAAGTTCTGAACCACACCAACATGAACTATGAACATGCTTCTGACTGCCAATCATGTCTGTCTCTTGGAATCAGATCTTATTTTTATGTATTACTTGACCGACAGCCTAATTTGGTTTCTGAAAATACATTATATATCAGTTGCTTGGCATTATTACCATAGCAACGGGAACTAAGAGATTATCATCAACATATGATGAAACTGCATCATCTGACATCAAACTTCCTAAAAAGTAGTCATTGTAGCGTTAATTGTTGCTAGGTTTGATTTGATTTGATTTGATTGATTGATTTCTGCATTTTTTATACATAATATCATTAACAATATGAACATTTTGTACATAGTGGTAATATTTTTTTAAATCACAATGAATAACACAATTTATGCAACAAATTGTTATGAACCATAAAAAAATGCAGAAGATCTGCTGCGTAAGCATGCGCTTGAAGGACATGCAGCTCTTGAACTTAAGATTACAGCCACAGCAAAATATGATAATAATTATAAACAGGCCAAAAATACAGGATTCAATAGCAAAAATGACTTGCTTCAGGAGACAGAGAGAGTGAGCAAGAGAGAGAGAGAGAGAGAGAGAGAGAGAGAGAGAGACGCAGAGAGAGAGACGCAGAGAGAGTGAGCAAGAGAGAGAGAGAGAGAGAGGTTGGCTTGTCCTACCTAGCAGCATGTAATGCTTTACAAAAAGTCACAATGTAGGTACGGACAGGCATTCCCCACCTAACTTTATAAATAAATGATGAAAACAATAACGATGCAAAACAGAAAATCAATTCAAAATCATAGTGCATTTAATTTCCTCCATTTACAATCTCCAACGAACCCGAAACAAGAATATTCAAAGAAAATTTGCGTATTCATAATACTCATCCAGCCATGCATAAGTGCATGGAATCTTTGAAGCACAAATTGCTGCGCTGCACCCTGGAGCGCTGCTTGCACAAAGTGGTGGCGTCACCGAGTACGCCGGAGTACACGTCATATGGTATTTCATTGTGACGTCACGCCATGTAAACTGCTCCTGCTCGCGCGTTTCATTTTTATCATAGTTACGCACCATGGAAACGCGTATCTGGAAACCAAGGTCACTTTTTGTTTATATCTAAGTTACAAACCATTTTCATATTGACTGATCTTCTTGAAGCAAATAACGGAGAAACTCTCGATTCACACTTGAACTTACATCAGTGCGGTTTTTGGTTTACATTTCTTTCTAGACTAGAGTCTAGAGTCTATATCGAATTCTTTCTCCTAACGCTTCTCATTTTCTTCAAGAAAAGCAGCCGATAATCATGTCTTTAATTAATTTCCATGAAACGAGTGAATCGTCTGATGATGAAGCGTCACATGTTGGGCAAATTGACCTTCGAAATGATGACCTGTCGGATGCAACGATTGAAGAATCATCTTCTGAAGATCGCATCAACGAAGTGACAGGTAATGGAAGTAAAATATTTTTGGATGTCCTGTTTTCCTAATCATGTTAATATTCAAATCAACCACAGTAGACCTAGGGCCTATCCCGTGTGGCAATTCAAGGAACGGAACAGATATTAAGAGATACATAGACTCTAGATCTAATTTTAAAAAGGCAAACCTTTAAAATAACTTTTAGTTTTAGACAATGCGCCCCAAATACACAAGGCAAAATACTGGAATAAGTTTAGAGTAGAACCCTTGACGCTTTACCCTTGACCCTTAACGCTACTTCACTGGAGGGCCTGGCTTCAAGGGAGCGCTTCCACCCAGCATCTAGACCAAGATCTAGATAGTTTATTCCTCAGCACTAGAGTAAAGTAGCCCGTTTTCGGCACTTAAGACAAAATCCTATTTTTAGGACTCTTTACTTCCTATTTATTATCATTTCTTGTTCAAATCATGAAGCAAATATTATTATTATTTACACAAAAAAAGAATCCCAGAAAAAAATCACGAATTGCCATGACAATATCCATTTCAGTTTTCACTGTTTTGGAGCCCGTTATCGGCCGAGCGTTTCAGTTTACGGCCGCATGTACAAAGTCAATAGGAAGCGCTCGCGCGCGCCGTGCGTTTCCGCGCTGATGTACAGCACAAGCGGGCGGAGCAGGTATCCCACGCCGGAGCTCCCTGGTGCTCGCCTGGCCGAAGACGGGCACAGCGGTGATCGGAAGTTGGAATCTGAATTAGATAGAGATATCGTGTGTGCGTCGCGGTGTGCGGCTGCATTGATTTAATACATGCGATGACATACTTTTGAGCTTGCGACTAGCACAAAATCGGGCTTTAAATCTGAAAAATACTTGAAATAAAGCTCATTTTATGGTACCCATATTTCTTACAGACACGCGTAAGATACTCGATTTTTCAGATTTTGGTAGCGGGACCGGCGATTACATCGCTAAAATGTGATATTTTAGGATATATTTTCCATTGCAAATGTGGTTCTTCAGTGACACTGGCATGGTATGGTGTGTGGGATATGTGTTATGCTATTATGCGATGTATTTTAGAGTGATTTTACCTTGTATCCAACCAATCGGCCGAAAACGGGAGCTGGCCGATTACGGGCTCCTTTACTCTACATCCTGACTTATGAATCCTGCTGAGTATCGTCGTAGAAGTAGAAGTAGATTCTAGAAGTAGAACCCAAATCGAGGCAGTACAAAAGCGAGCAGCAAGATTCATCCTCCGAGATATCGTCGTATGGCCAGTGTCTCGGCCATGATTCAACATCTGAAATGAGAGAGCCTGGAGAGGAGAAGAAATGCTGCAAGCCTCCACCTCATGTACAAGATCCAAACAACACAGTAGCCATCAATGCACATCATTACACGGTTCTAGGACAATTACCCCCTGGACAATCACCCCCCGGAAAATTACCCCCCAGAAAACTACCCCCAAAGGACAATTACCCCCTGGAATTTACCCCCCCGAGAATCACCCCCCGAGGACAACTACCCCCAAGGACAATTACCCCCCGGAAAATTACCCCCCGGAGAATTACCCCCCGAGGACAACTACCCTCGAGGACAATTACCCCCTGGGACAATTACCCCCCCGAGGACAATTACCCCCCGAGGACAATTACCCCCCCCCCGAGGACAACTACCCCCCGATGATAATTACCCCCGAGGACATTCCTCCGATGACAATTATCCTCCGAGGACAACTACCCCCGTGGACAATCAGGAATCAATAGCAAAAGACGATCTGACACATTGAGAGATGGCTACGAGCCCATAAGATCCCCTGCATGAACCCATATTTTTTCAAATACTAGAGTAAAGTACCCGGTAATCGGTCAGCTCCGGTTTTCGGCCAATTGGTTGGATACATGGTAAAATCACTTTAAAATACATCGCATAATAGCATAACACATATCCCACACATACCATACCATGCCAGTGTCACTGAAGAACCACATTTGCAATGAAAAATATATCCTAAAATATCACATTTTAGCGATGTAATCGGCGGTCCCGCTACCCAAATCTGAAAAATCGAGTTTCTTACGCGTGTATGTAAGAAATATGGGTACCATAAAATGAGCTTTATTTCAAGTATTTTTTCAGATATAGAGCCCGATTTTGTGCTGGTCGCAAGCTCAAAAGTATCTCATCGCATGTATTAAATCAATGCAGCCGCACACCGCGACGCACACACGATATGTCCGTCTAATTCAGATTCCAACTTCCGATCACCGCTGTGCCTGTATTCGGTCAGGCGAGCACCCGGGAGCTCCGGCGTGGGATACCTGCTCCGCCCGCGTGTGCTATACATCAGCGCAGAAACGCACGGCGCGCGCGAGCGCTTCCGATTGACTTTGTACATGCGGCCGTAAACTGAAACGCTCGGCCGATAACCGGCTCCAAAACAGTGAAAATTGAAATGAATATTGTCATGGCAATTCGTGATTTTTTTTGGGGATTCTTTTTTTGTTTAAATAATAATAATATTTGCTTCATGATTTGAACAAGAAATGATAATAAATAGGAAGTAAAGAGTCCAATAAATAGGATTTTGTCTTAAGTGGCCGAAAACCGGGTACTTTACTCTATATCACGTTGTCTTCCTCATTAATACACTTTTCCCTTTTATTATAATTTATGCAACGCCAGTACGGTTGCTAATTTCCACGAAGGATGTAAGTTTTAGGTAATTGTCCAGCGCTTTTCAAAATGCATAGAAATACATTTCTCTGGAGCAGCGTTATTTTAACTTTTTGTTAGTCACGGTAGCCTCTTATATAGATCTCTAAATAAGAAATGAAAAGTTTCTCCCAAATCCCAAAGTCTTTATAGGCCTAGAGGTCTAGATTATTAATTTTGCATGACTCTGGCTCTATGCACTAGACCTAGAGTAAAGTAGCCCGTTTTCGGCCACTTAAGACAAAATCCTATTTTTAGGACTCTTTACTTCCTATTTATTATCATTTCTTGTTCAAATCATGAAGCAAATATTATTATTATTTACACAAAAAAAGAATCCCAGAAAAAAATCACGAATTGCCATGACAATATCCATTTCAATTTTCACTGTTTTGGAGCCCGTTATCGGCCGAGCGTTTCAGTTTACGGCCGCATGTACAAAGTCAATAGGAAGCGCTCGCGCGCGCCGTGCGTTTCCGCGCTGATGTACAGCACAAGCGGGCGGAGCAGGTATCCCACGCCGGAGCTCCCTGGTGCTCGCCTGGCCGAAGACGGGCACAGCGGTGATCGGAAGTTGGAATCTGAATTAGATAGAGATATCGTGTGTGCGTCGCGGTGTGCGGCTGCATTGATTTAATACATGCGATGACATACTTTTGAGCTTGCGACTAGCACAAAATCGGGCTTTAAATCTGAAAAATACTTGAAATAAAGCTCATTTTATGGTACCCATATTTCTTACAGACACGCGTAAGATACTCGATTTTTCAGATTTGGGTAGCGGGACCGGCGATTACATCGCTAAATGTGATATTTTAGGATATATTTTCCATTGCAAATGTGGTTCTTCAGTGACACTGGCATGGTATGGTATGTGTGGGATATGTGTTATGCTATTATGCGATGTATTTTAGAGTGATTTTACCTTGTATCCAACCAATCGGCCGAAAACGGGAGCTGGCCGATTACGGGCTCCTTTACTCTATGCACATTTAAGAATAAAAAAGAGAAGACATTTTCAAACTGGAAAAAATTTGTTTGTAATTCACACACTAGAAACTATTTAAGTACTGTATGCGGGCACCTTGCCGCCAATTGTACATAAATAAAAAGTGATATATTCGGTCATGATCTTGATACACAAATTCGAGGATATTTGGGGCTCTCGTTGCCCTTATTTACCTTACTGTCAAAATATTGTCAGCGAGCGAGGAAGGAAGACACTTTAGTATCTTCAAAGTTTTATTTTCTAATGTAATTACATAGGTCTATTTTAACCGGTTCTGGTATTTGATGTTTTTTACAAAATCAATGTTTTCCAAATCATTCTCTTACGGCACCCCGGTTGAAAAACGCTGTGCTGGCGTTACAAAATCAAACGAGATGAATGACCAGAGAGCGGATATTTATTTTCTTTTGACATGGCACCGTACATATAACTTGAAGGCAATTTCTATTTCAAAATAATTTAACGTACACGAAAGCATACTACACTTCAGCATGACAACAGAAATAATAGATAACGTGAAGAAAACCTTAATTATGGATCATGGCATGGATGAGGGCCCATTATACATATAAAGACAAATACACGATCAGCTGATTAAAACAGTTACAGAGGATGCATAAATGAAATCTTACATCCTAATTTCTTTGTTGTGCCATTGATGGTGAGAGAGGCTGTAACGCGTACTCATCTGCGCGCAATGTATTGTTCAATTTCTCAGAAATGTAATTTCTGTACTCGGTAGCAAAACTACAGGGGAATTGGGCAACCTCCACCCCCATATCGAATTGAATAATTTGAAAAGACTGAAATGAAATTCATAAATAAAAAAGAAAATTAAAATTTATGCAATTTTCTGTAAATAGCAATTTGGAGAGAAGCTTGCGTTATACGTCACAGTGTTATAAATTCCTCGGGGGTGATTGTCATTGGGGGTAGTTGTCCTCCGGGGGTTATTGTCCTCGAAGGGGGGAGGGGTAGTTGTCCTCGGGGTTTATTGTCCTCGGGGGTAGTTTTCGTGGGGGATAGTTGTCCTCGCGGGTAATAATAATAATAATAATAATAACGTTTTATTTACCCAGGGTAGCCACTTCAGTTATGAAACTGCTCTTCCATCGGGCCCTGCATAACATAATATGTTATTACTACCCTTCTCCAATCTAATATGCTGAGCGAGAAGGCAGAAGGTCCCATTGTTATAAGTCTTTGGTATGACTCGGCCGGGGTTCGAACTCACGACCTCCCGTTCATGAGGCGGGCGCTCTAACCACTGAGCCACCATGCCCAGTAGTGTCCATGGGGGTAATTTTCCTTGGGGGTAGTTGTCCTCGGGGGGTAATTGTCCGCGGGGGTAGTTGTCCTCGGGGGTAGTTGTCCTCGGGGGTAATTGTCCGCGGGGGGTAGTTGTCCTCGGGGGGTAATTGTCCTCGGGGGTAATTCTCCGGGGGGTAATTTTCCGGGGGGTAGTTGTCCTCGGGGGGTAATTGTCCTCAGGGGGTAATTCTCCGGGGGGTAATTTTCCGGGGGGTAGTTGTCCTTGGGGGGTAATTGTCCTCGGGGGGTAATTCTCCGGGGGGTAATTTTCCGGGGGGTAATCGTCCTACGGGGGTAGTTTTCCGGGGGGTAATTGCCCGGGGGGTGATTGCCCAGGGGTAATTGTCCTGATACGCATTACACAGCACCCATGATTGCCAGCAACACACAACAGTATGATCACTCAAAGAAGTTGCTGGCTATCCCATTCCGCACCCAACTCTACCAGAACTCATTTTTCCCTCGGACAGTAACTGCGTGGAATGCACTTTCGAAGATCTCCCTTGACGCTACTTCACTGGAGGGCTTCAAGGGAGCGCTTCCACCCAGCATCTAGACCAAGAACTAGATAGTTTATTCCTCAGCACTACATCCTGACTTATATGGATCCTGCTGAGTATCGTCGTAGAAGTAGAAGTAGAACAGTTTCTGATGCTCTTTTTACCCTCGCATAGCCTAGATCTAGATTCTATTTAATTCTAGATCTAGAGGTAGTCTACTGTCTCTGGGCCTAGATCTAGATCTTTGTTGCTTCAGGATATCTCTCGTTTTTACACCCTAACTAGGATACAGATCGAGATTATATTTATTCTTAGAATAGATCTATCACGTCCCTGGTCTAGACCGAGGCTTATTTTATAGCGTTTTTGAAATCGTTACAAATTTGGATGAACATTGTAATTTTGTTATTTTATTTTTTTGGAAAACGAAATAGATCTAGATTCTAGACTAGGTCTAAACGAAATAAAAGAAATAACAAAAGAAAAAATATTTTGTTGTTATGTTCCTAAGACCGAGTGCAAAAGTTTACTCAGGCCTACTAGATCTACTACTAGTATTAGTACTAGAGTCTACTAATATTTTTTATATAAATATTATTGTTATTAATTAGTGTTATTGCTATTACTATTAAATCTTCTATTATTATCAGCATCATTATCAATATTGTTGTTGTGACAGGGACGAGTGACCTTGTCGATGCCATCGATAAAGAACCTGATGTCGTCACCGGAATTGATGACCGCAACATCCCTCCTACCGATCAAACTTCCATCACGTCATCACCATCGCCTGTAAGTGTAACCACCACACTGCTGCTTCATCGTCCACTCCTTGTCAGGAAACGACGACGTCGACATGGAACTCGATCACACCCTTCGTAGGGGCTGTGCAGGGTCCAGTCGTTAATGTGTACTCGCCTTTCATCGAAGACCAGAGGGAAGTGACACCGGGGCCAAACGTGTTTGAGAAGAACATGCGGAACGCCATTGAATTACGCGAGCATGAGGACACGACCGGTGCTAACGATCAGCAAAATGGCAAGAAAAAGACAGGTATATATATATATATTAAAGGCAATGAAGAAAGGAAAAGCGACCTTAATCATCATTCTCCTTTTTACAAAATCATTATCCCTCTTTTTCTTATAGTCGTCTACTTGTTCTGCTTCTTCGTATTCTTCTCTCTCTTTCTCTACCCACACCCCTCTTCCCTTTACCCGCCTTTATTATTATTACTTAACGTCCTAATATTCTTTTTCTTCTTCTTCCTACTTTCTTATTTTCATCAACTTTATTTCTATCACAAATTGCACATCACTGCAGACGGCAGTGTCGAAGAATCCACACCTAGTAATGGTGATGTTGTGGAAACTCCTAGCAACAGGGAGTCTGATGAGACCTCGGCGGGCCGATTGGTAAAACGGAGTCCATCGACCCATCAGTCGAGGAACCTAATGACCCGGACCTGCCTGAAGTCGAGCCCGAGGGATATACCAATAAGGAGGAAAGTGAGACCTTGGTCGAAGCACATGGCAACCTCAAACAGGCTGAAATTTCGGTCGAGGAGGCACCTTGCGACAAAGAAAAGACGAAGGACATAGTCTTGGAGCCCTGCAACAAGAAGTACCCTGACGCTCTAATGGAGGCAGATAGCAGCACGGAGGTGGCAGACACACCTGCAGAGGCTCAGAGTCTAGACCAAGGAGAGACTAATCTACCGACCGAGATCTTTCCTGGTGTTGAACATCCAAAGGAAGGCGAAACACAGACTGACAGTTCAGGTGAGCAGCTATATTATAATAGTAATACAAAATAATAATACTATTAGATATTTATATAGCGCACATATCCACCCTGCAAAGTGCTCAAAGCGCTCCAATATTACCCCGGCTCTGCTCGGCTACCGATTTTGGTGCTCACAGCATTCAAGGAATTCCTTCCTACCGGTCCCCATACTTCACCTGGGTGGAGTGTACGATCATGGAGGCTTCAACAACGTTAAAATATAACATCATTTTCATTACAACCTTAACTGGAATTGCCTAATCTATGTGAGTTCATGCATGGTGTATATTTCATTTCTTTTGCTCTCATATGCCTAGCATGACGTCATAATTTACATCTGCCCCACCCCCCTCCCCCCCCCCCCACACATGTACAACGCATGCTTCTTTCCTATGTGTTACCATGGAAATCTAAGTAACCATTAAACGGACTTACGATTTTACGAAACTTCCTCATGCGACACACTCGCTTTCCTTCAATTTTCTACACGAACCGAATTCACAACTTCATACCTGGACCCAACACTATACCTAACCATTATAACCCTGGCCTTAAACCCAACTTATAATCCAATCCAATCCCTTACCCAAGTCCTATAACTTTAACTAAATAACGCCCTGAGAGGATGTCGAGATGGAATTTTCGGTCAACCAACTTGCACATGATTACGCAGTTGTCACGTTTCACAAACTCTTGCCTGCAGCTCCGCAGACACAGACCGAAGCTGATGCCAACACCATCGCCCAGGCCAAGGAATGGCACGATTCCGTCGTTAGTCGCTTGGCCCGGCTACGAGGCCTATCATGTTGGCTTGGTGATCGTAACAAGCGAATGGACGGTATGGTCGAGATTCTTGTCCGGTCCCTGGAGCACATGGGTGTCGGAGCGGTGACCGACCACATTGGAAATTTGGTAGGCGACAGTGCTACACCATAGCCCTTCTAGCATGTCTAAAGGGGCCGGGGCTCTCAACCCCCCCCCCCCCCCCCTCCCCCGAAAAAAGGTGTTGACTTAAAAGGAATATAAGGAAGCCACGTGTAGGGGAACTTACCCCCAAGACCACCATTCCACGAAAAGTAATTTCTTAGAACGTTCACCTGCGAGGTAGTCAGTGGTTTAGTTTAAAGGATGGAGCAGGGAGCATGTCCCCCCCCCCATACTGAATCAAACAAAAAACAAGTAAAGAAAATGCAGATGGGAAAAGAAAGGAAAACGATACAAGAACACGAAAGAACTATACTATTCCTAAGCGATACCCTTGTTAATTCACATGTTCATTCATCAGTTATATTATACCCCTGCCCTCCTGATACAAGTATATTTCAAAGCTTGACCCTTACTACGTCACTTATGACAGGGGGTGATTCCCGAATAGCATACCTAGGTATTTATAGTCGGACGGGGATATAGGGATAGGCCCGAAAAACATTATGCTTTCCAGTAAGCAAATGGTCAAATAGGACAAGTGTAAAATGTTCGAGTTCTTTTTTTTAACAAATTACATGATCACCTTGACAGCTTGGAAGACAGAGAGAGAGAGAAGAGAGAGAGAGAGAGAAAAGGGGAGGATGGAGGGAATAATCAGAGAGACGGTATACAGCTTGTGAGAGAGTGACGACGTAAGAATGCTACAAGAGGGAGATTAGAAAACAAAATTCATTTACGTATGAATGTAAATTTGGGGGATGTAATGCTATGCACACAACGCGCAGAAACTTAGAAAATGTAAAAGATTACTAAAGTATATCATTCTTCTATTCTAAATAAATTGATTTTATTCTAACAGATTCCCCTTCAGAATTTTCGTTTGAACTCGGCCATCAAGCTGTCTACGGCAGACAACACATGGACAACGTGTGATGACGAAACCATGAGCAACGACATCAATGGTTAGAAATGAGTAATTTATACAAGGGTTGCTTCGTAGAAGGCGTAGTCACTAACGAATTGGACACGAGTAAGGGGGGGGGGGGGGCGAGTGGACAATTTGCCCCTCCTATCAGATATTTAAATGAAAGAAAAGTTGCGTTCTTTCTCTAGATATGTCATTTTGGGTGATACCCCTCCACCTTGACTCGTACACAAAACAAAGCCCATCAAAGAGTGGTCTCCTTACTGTACAGTGTATGGATCACAGCAAGGAAAACAAAATTCCCATTCTGACGTCATAGTCTAGATACGCCATTGGGCATCGGGGGGAGGGGGGCAGGAAGAAACAAAAACCATAAGATAATTACAAGATAACTCAATATTCGTTTACACCGGTCAAGTTAACACAGGTGAAGTAAATGGGTACCTGGTAGGAATTTATTCCTTGAAATGCTAGAGCGCCGTATGGCAGCCGTGCTAAAGCCAGGGTAATAATCGGGAGCGCCAGGAGGGTCAAATCTGACTGACATGAGCGCTATACAAGAACCCACTATTATTATTATTATTATCGGCGAACCGGTTAATGATTTCTTGGAAAAATAGATCACATTTTATCAAGTGTTGGGGAACCAGGCGCTAATCAGGGGCCCAAAGGGGGGGGGGGGCTGGCCTGCCCCCCTCACCTGGCCCAACAAAAATTATTATTAAGAAAAATAAAAATTGTTCGAAAAAATAAATTAGTGTTTCATCTCTCCTCTCCCCCCCCCCCCCCCCCCCCCCCCCCCCCCCCCCCCCTCCTGCTTATTCACCGGCTGGATGATTTGCTGCTAAAAAAATTCGCACTAACTGGGGAAAAAAAATAGTGCTCTTACCCTCCGATGATTAGGATGATGATGATGACGCTTATATATATAAAGGACATGATGATGATGATCGTGATGAGTTGGACAAAGAGGGGGAGAAGGATAACGAAATTGATGGCGATGAAGACGAAGATGACGTTGAATGATATCATGCTTAACGAGTATGTGATAACAGGGTTACTTAATTACTATTCGCTATAGTTCCGTAACATTATTGTTAAAAAAGTTAGCCCACCAAATTTCGTGTTCCATTTATCATTGGGATTGGGATGTCGACGAACTTGTACTTGCGATGGCTTCTTTAAACGTTGCCCTAGTGATTGTTTCTCATTTCTCTCCCCATTACATCCAACGTATCCAGCCTGGTTGCCGGGCTCTCTCCCGGACGATCACAACCTCCCGTTGACGAACGAGCAGATGGGGAAGTATGAGAGCCAGGTGGAGGTTCTCCGAGCCGAGAACGAGGCTCTCCAGCGCTCCCTGCAGACGGCATTGGACAACCAGGGTTCGTTAGGCGTCCAAATCAACCAGTGGCAGGCATGCATTGACAGCGCTGGACAGCAGCTGTGTCAGGTCACTCAGGAGGTCCACGACTCAAAGTCTCGGGAGAGGCACCTGCGTCATCTCCTGGGTGAGGAAAGACGAATCAAGGTACGAAAATGCAAATCTAGTAAACCGTTAAAAATAAAATTGAGTAATAGTCATTTACATCGTGAAAAGAACTATCTGTAAGCAATTTCAATCGGTTAATTAAGGATCGTAGCAAGGTTAAAACATCGATAGAATAATAAACTAACTAAAAGTCACATCAGATGCTCATAAAATGTGCATATGTGACAACAGGCCTAGACACATGAGGCAGGACAGTTTTGGTTCAAATTTGTTGTCATATTTTGAATATAGGGGCATTTTGAAAATAAATTAACATGCTTCATGGTTTATTAAAAATAGTGGTGTTTCACTTTATTTCTTCCCCCAGGACTCACTGGTGCAACAAAACTCTTTAACGAAGGCAGACCAAGACCACGCGACAGAGAACGTGAACTGCTGGCCCCCAAACATCAACGAAGGAATATCTGGTCCTTCCCAATCGACAAATTCGGCACCCGGCGAGAACAGCGCGACTTGTTTGCAAGGATTAGCAGGGTCACCTGGTACAGAGATGCCATGGCAACAAACGCAGGGTATCTCTTCTGGACCGAGGGACACACATAGCAGCAGATTGAACAGCTCTGCACCGCCTTTCATTTCGGCATACTCATCGCCTCACAGACAGAATTACCGCAGTAACTGGCATGCCAGATCGGACTGGCATCCGAGATCTGGATCCGGTCGAACATTTGGATCCGGCACGGGACGAGGTCGCCATGGCAGTGGGAGAGGGCATTACAGAAAGGAGCACAGCACCAACGTGGGTTTCAATCGGCTTCTGGACGGTTTCTTTGACAACTTGAACCGAATCGAGAACGCCCTTCGCCAACAAGGAATCAATGTGCCTGGTCCGACGTCTGATGCTGCACAAGTAGTCCAGCAGCAACAGCAGCAGCAGGTCGTCTGCAGTAACGTAAACGTGCAGTATCCAACGGTTAATGACTTACAGCAACAGCAGCAGCAAGAAACGGCCGCTCCAAACCAGCCAATATATTACAGCCCGCCCATGCAGCCTGTGGTCTACCCAGGGCCAATGAATGTAGTTGCCCATCCGGTCCAGTCGATCCCTTCAGTGCAGCAGGTTCCTCATCAGAGCCCGATGGTAGTCCAAGCCATCCCACAGCCTCACGTGCAGTTTGCACAAGTCGAGGGACAGGCTTATTAGACCTACATGGCTAGGGGAGAATAGAAGATACTTCATAACGAGAAGGAGTAAAAGGGAATTTTGCTAGGGTGGTCGAGCGGCAGGTCTCACGTGAATTGCGCACTTATATTATGAGACACTGTGTGTATATAGTTCTCCATCGATGTCCATAGGGACGGACTTTGGGGAACGGAATGAAGATGGATGCGATTCGGCAGATCATGAGAAGACTGGTTGAAGGTGTCTTGATGGCACCGGGGCCGCATGCATTAAAACTTGTGATTGAACGCAGCTCCGAATTTCAAAGGCTAGTTCTCACTCCTGTGTCTGAATAAGATAACGTTGTATGTGATTCTTTGAGTGGCGTGTAATCGGTCACAGTTTTTTGAAACAATTTTGTTCTTTTATGTTTGTTTGTAAGGCTCCAGTTGAATTTAGTATGGCGTGTTAATCATGGAACAGTGTAACAGGATGATTTGTAAATAATCGTGAACTATGTAAGATATTATTATTATCAAGGCATTTAATTGGAGAAAGAGATGATGTTGCCCTCTTGACGTTGATTCATTGGAGCGAGGCGATGAATAATGCTAAAAAAATAAGTGACATAAACAGATATTGGTGCTCTGAATGAGGAGGTTGGTATGTTTCATACTATCATAAGAATTCGATCACAAACATAGTCTTCTCTTTTTTTCCGCAGACAGGATTAATTTTGTGTTCATTCAGCAATGACAAAAATGAATGACATCAGTCGGCGTCATAATTTACAACTGGCGCTTTAACTATTCGCCCCTAGATTGAGGTTAAGCATATATATACCACAGGCATATCGAACTTTCACTTTAGAATGATTTCTTGATTCAAATGGCATCCACCCTTCCCAAAATTTGAAGACTGGGAGAGGATTTTAAGGCTATCAAGTCCATTTTTATGTCGTGAAGATATTTGATGAAGGAAATATCACAAAATGGTGTGATCTACATATAGTTTGATGTTTATTACTTTTGTGGTCAATATGACGAATAACCGAGGGGGAACACAAATCATTTCCCGCTGATTATGGAGTCTAAAGTATTATGAAATTAATGGAAATAACATTTAAAATCAAGAGTATTAAATGCTTTCATCATGAAAACCTAGCCTGCAATGATAATGAACTGTATGGTTATCGCATTATGTCAATTATGTAAAACAAACAAATAAAGAAAATATAATCAAACTCTTTTAAAACTTGTACCGTCGATTTCACTTCTTGACTGTCTTCCAATGAAGTATATGTTGTTGTCTCTAACCCTGGTATTTCCTTTCCCCCGATCGCAAATACTTCACTTAATTTACTATATGTCAAAAACCGTTTGTACTGCCAGAAATTGCACGGTTTCCATAAAATCTTTGAGCAGCCTTTGTACGGATTTGCCCCGGCCTGCCACCGAGGGTCAATACGAGAAATGGCACGATGCTCAGTTCAGTTCAGTTCAGTTCATTTTATTCAAAACCACACAAAGCATGATATAATATGTTACATATAAAAATATTCAAAAAATACTGGTAATAGTACATCAATCAACATATTTTAACTTGATTACATCATAAACTGAATGGTTTTAGGACCCCTTTAGAAGCTAAGCTTGTGAGCGGGGCCCTATAGTCAACAAAATACATACATTTACAGTAAAAAGAATGTTATGTATGATTATACAATGGATGAAAATACTAAGCTACAGAATATAGAACATACAAATACTGCTCGTAGATAATGTAAACACAAACATCGTTTATACTAGTAGCCTCCTACGATGCCCCCAAAATCGTAGACCAATTTATCGTACTGGGCAAATGTAAACTTAGCATTAGTGACCTCAATGTTATCCCTGATCTGAGACTCTCTGTCATATATAAATAAAAATAAAAGAATAAATGAATAAATAAATGCATCAATGAATTAACGAATAATCAGAATTGAAGAAGAAGAAAATCAATCAATTAATTAATAAATGAGTAAAAAAAAAAAAAGGAACATCTAAACGGATACAATAAACCTATAGAAATAACATTAAATAACTTAACTGAAAAAATGTGTATAGGCAATAGTTTGACCTACTCGACTCTTATAATAGGTTTATTTGTATGAAAGCGGAGAAATAAGAGAAACAGAGAGACGAAAGTTTGCAATAAAACAGATCAATAATAGGAATGTTGTGAGTGTTTGAAATATGAGGCGATTAAATCGAGATCGCAAATTGACCATTTGATCAATGGAAAGTGACGTTTTCACGGACAACTCGATTTCAAGATTGATGGAATTTCAATAGAATTTTTTTTTTTTAAAGCATTAAATCTTTAAGTATAACACTTGATCAGTGCATGATTTAGAATACGCACATTGATAACGCAGTTACTTCTGCATCACGTGGAATTTTAATATTATTTAAATCGAAATAATAATTATCATGTTCCCCAAATTTATTTTATACAGGGCAATTACCTTGCCATAATAATCGTACTCTTATGTTGTTTGTTCGAATAAATAAAACTAAAATAAATCTATAATGATAATAATAATAAACCATAATAGCGCATAATTATCACAAAGATAAATTTAAGTCCCTTTGTGCTCAGAAAAAAAGAGAAAAATAGATAATAGCAGACATGATTGAAGAGAAAGAAAGCTGTTCGAATACTGTACAAGTGCCAAATACTTAGCTTGTACAGATCCTATGTCATACGGTTCCTTTAATCTGTCAATATTATTGTATAAGCTATACCTGTCTTTAAATTACCCTATTATTAAAATGTTTCGTGCATTTATAGACTCCACCCTTGCGAAAACCCGTTGTCGTTTAATGGCATGTTCCGTTTAAACCCAGCCATTCATAACTATCCCGCTCGGATTTCTTCACATGTAACTACATAACCCTAAAACAGTTCTAGATCATAAGTTTTTAAGACACACCGGCCCTTTATATATGTATTTGGAATTCACTCTCTCACAAAATTCGAAAGAGTCCAACGAAAAATAATATTGTTTTAAAAATATCTTAACTCATCTTGAATAATTGAATGACACAAATTTAGAGTTAGCAACGCTTTTTTTTTAACTAGCAATGACAGTAAACATTTTATTCATCAAAATATCATGATTGTATGATTGATTACTATACCACAAAACACATAAAATAGTCATTTTGTAATTCGCCATCAGTTCAATCACTCATATATATCCCTGTACACTTGAAGGAAGGAGATGCAAGTTTTAGTTAAAGGGAATATAAAGTTTTTGGTAATATTTTAACAGGATAGGATTATGAAGTTTAAAATTTGCATTACGATTATGAAACCTAGTGTTAGAATAAGCAACTTTGAGAAAATTGAGCTCTAAAACGCTAAGGATTTCGAGAAATTAAAATATCAAATTTATCAGGAGCACCGATAAATTTAATATAAAATAGCGCCTACTATAGCTGCAACCATGACAACCTGGGAATATGCAGTTCTGAAGACCACGGGAGTGGTTATTAGAAACTTTAACTACATAAAACTCACACTCTCCAATTTTATGCAACAAAAGGTTGTCTTGGGAACCACTTCTATCATTACGATTGGGGAGCCTTTGCCGAGGTTAAAAAGGATATATCCTTGTTCACTGAATAGGGATTCTTGCTAAACACTGTTACCTCTCTTCGCTCCAGTGATCTCCAGCAGCAGACAGCAAATCCCACTGCCCCAGTGTGTGCTCCTTTCAAAGAGCACAAAAAGCCCTCCGATTTAACATTTCATCTCCTTCAGCAATAGCAGACACGTCCTCAATATTGGACACAACTTTCAATGAGATAATGCCCACATTATTGAGTTGTCCATCTGGATAAATAGGATTTAAGCCTTTACTGAATAGGTACTCTTGCTATCAGTGGCGCCGTACGCAGGATTTTTTCAAAGGGGGGGGGGGGGGGGGGGGGGTTAACATCTTGAAATCGGGCCCAAAATTTCGCAACGACTCAGCCAGCCGCTGAATAAGCGGGGGGGGGGGGGGGTAAGGTCAACTTTTTTAGGTCATCCATTTGGATTACAAAAAAAAAAAAAACATAACTCAAAAAGGGGGGGGGGGGGTCCCAAAAAGCATACACATAAAAAAAACTGAAGGGGGGGGGGGGGGTTAACCCCGACTGCTTGCTATGCATTGTTACATTTCTTCGCTCCAGTGATCTCGAGGCAGCAGAAAATAAAGTCCAAAGGAGTGGTTGTTAGAAGCTTAAATTACATAAAACTCACATTCCCTATTAAAGCTAAAGTTGAGTTCTGGTCATGCGATTGCATTGTCAAGCGTGAAAGCTTTTACGTTTCATTAAATCATTAGAGAAAGAAGACGATTCGTTGTACCGTTCTCGACTCTTAATCCTTGTCTAAATTCAGTTTCCCCCTCGCCACCCCCTACCGCGCGAAGCGCGGAAGCTTCGACGTTTCATTAAATTATTAGAGAAAGAAGACGATTCGTTGTGTCGTTGCCGACTCTTAATCTTCGTCTAAATTCAGTTTCCCCCCAAGCTTTTACGTTTTTAATCATTAGAGAAAGAGGACGATTCGTTGTACCGTTCTCAGTCGACTCTTAATCCTTGTCTAAATTCAGTTCCCCCCCCCAGACTCTCGCGCGAATCGCGGAAGCTTCGACGTTTCATTAAAATATTAGAGAAAGAAGACGATTCGTTGTACCGTTCTCGACTCTTAATTCTTGTCTAAATTCATTTTCCCCCTCTCGCGCAAAGCGCGGAAGCTTCGACGTTTCATTAAATCATTAGCGAAAGAAGATGATTCGTTGTACCGTTATGACTTTTAATCCTCGTCTGTGTTCAGCCACCCCGGAAGCTTTCACGTTTCATTAAATCATTAGCGAAAGAAGACGAGTCGTTGTACCGTTATGACTTCTAATCCTTGTCTAAATTCAGTTTTCCCCCTCCCACGCGAAGCGCGGAAGCTTTTACGTTTCATTAAATCATTAGAGAAAGAAGACGATTCGTTGTACCGTTCTCGACTCTTAATACTTGTCTAAATTCAGTTTTCCTCCCGCTTCAACGTTTTATTAAATGTTTAGAGAATGAAGACGATTCGTTGTTCCGCTCTCGAAAATAATTTAGTTTCCCCCACCCGCGCGAAGCGCGGAAGCTTTAACGTTTCATTAAATCATTAGCGAAAAAAGACGATTCGTTGTATATCGTTATGATTTTTAATCCTCGTCTAAATTCAGTTCCCTCCCCCCCCCCCCCCCTTCCGCGCGAAGCGCGGAAGCTTCGACGTTTCATTAAATTATTATAGAAAGAAGACGATTCGTTGTACCGTTCTCAAAAATTATCCTCGTCTGAATTCAGTTCCCCCTCCTCCCCCTCCGCGCGAAGCGCGGAAGCTTTGACGTTTCATTAATTCATTGGAGAAAGAAGACGATTCGTTGTACCGTTCTCGACTTTAATCCTTGTCTGAATTTCAAAAATGTTCTTTGTCTATTCCCTTTCCTTCCTACGTTCTCTTCCTTTTCACTCCTCTCTTTTTTTGGCCGACGTTTATGGGGGGACCACCCCACCGCCCCCCTGGCTAATCGCCTGCGGTCAGATGAACATATGTTGATACCTTGTCCGCCCCGGAAGCTCAGGGGTTTAAGGTTTTAATTTACGGTCAGATTAGCATTCAGGGGTCCGACTTAGGGCCCTAGGCGGGGTCCAGGGGCAGAGCCCCGGAAGTTCAGGAGTTTTAGGCATTTGATTACGGTCAGATGAGCATTATTTTGATACCTAATTGTTACAGTGGCAGGTCACTTATTGGCTTGGGATTCAGGGGGCGGAGCCCCGGAATCTCATGAGTTTTAGGCACTCAATTACGGTCAGATAAGTATCAAGGGGCCCGCCTAAGGGCTCTTGGTTGGGTCCAGGGGGCAGAGCCCCTGGAAGCTCAGGGGTTTTAGGCGTTTAATTACGGTCAGATGAGCATTTTTGATACCTTATTATCTGTGACACTGGCAGGACACTATTTGGCGTGGGGTCCAGGGGGCAGAGCCCCCAGAAATAAGGGGTTTTAGGCATTAAATGACCGCCAGATGAGCATCTAAGGGCCCGTCTTAGGGCTCTAGGTGGAATCCAGGGGGCAGAGCCCTTGGGGTTTTAGGCATTTAATCATGGTGAGATGAGCATATTATGATACCTCATTATAATGTGACGCTGGCAGTTAACTATTTTTTCGTTC